GTGGCTATGGTGCGAGACTTGGTGTGGCGATGAAGGCCTTGCAAAAGCCAAGACAATTGATCTGGTAAGTTGGAAAAAAAAAAAAAAAAAAAAAAAACTTTCTTCAAATGCCAGGTATTCATGGTTAACGATAAATATTATTGGATTATTTATAGTGCAACAACCCTCTGACTAAAGAACCCAAGTTGGACCGAGCAAGACGTCAGATCAAGGAGTGGGAGAGCTTGGATAATGAGGCCACAGAGTTTGCGAAAGAAGTGAATGCTAAGCTCAAGGCGGCTCGTCAGACTCAGCAGCAGCAAGCATCATTAGAAGATATTAACATCTCCAACAACCAGGGTCAGCAAACAATGCCGTTCAAAGATACGGAGGGGTCACATACGACTAAGGATGAGCTTTAAATAAACAATTTCTTAAATAGTTTCTAAGTGAGAATAAATAAATATGAAAATGGTAAACTCTTGTATTCAGATATATCTTTTATTATATATATTATTGATACTAATCGCAAATATTCTCACTTTTTATTTTCTGCAATATTCGATGTTGAAGACTGCTTCGCCTTTGTGTTTGCTTGGTATTCTAAATCCCTAGTACGGCTTTCTTTGACTAATCTTCCAATCTGGGTCATAGTGAGGCCACCGGGTCCCTTGATCTTATCTGGATCTAACGTCTTTGGACTGGACTTTTCTACAGGTGATTTGGTATGACTGGTGAATGTCCTTGCTGTATATGAAGCGTTGGTTATAGCCCAGGCATCAAAATACTCTCTCCTCCTTGACGGTGTCATCACAAGGCGAAGATAGTGAGATGCATAACGTGAGAGAGCATTAGCCCTTGACAATTCCGAGGCATGCATGAAAAGACTTTTTGACGCGAAGGTCACAATGGAAAGAATGCATAAAAAAAAAATCGAAAAATATGCTCGTGGCTTCGCCCTTGTCTACGTATTCTTATTTTCTCATTGTGCACATGCACACTGCTCACTCTGTGCAACAATGTCTTTAAGAATCTTGTTCACAAGCTAATCTTTACTTGAATTGGTCAATCTATTTGCGATTCTTTTTTTTTTTTTTTTTTTTTTTTTTTACTTTTATAAAATACATTATATTATATGCGAAAGGGATCTTTATCAAGATTGTATGCAGATGAATATTATTATAGTGGCTTTCATTATTCTTCATCTCTTTCTATATCTTCATCCTCATTATCACCAGCTATTGCAGCAGCTCCATTTGCCGTCCTCCTCGCTCGTCTCTGGACCTTGGATGGCGCTGACATCTTATCGGAGAGTCCAATTAAGACTTTTCCTGACCACGCACTGTGACACGTTGGGCAGACTGGATTATTCATGTTCCTAAAGTATGTGGATGCACAATGTTGATGCAATCTGGAAGAGCACGCAGCAACTGAACAACGTTGACCTTTTGTGATAATCTCCATGCATAATGTACATTCCTGGATCTGTTCTCCATATGTTTCTTTGAGGTATGTCTGAAGTTCAAGTAGTGATCTCATCGACAGAGAATATGCACCTGCACTGATGATGTGCATTAAAAAAAAAAAAAAAAAAAAAAAAAAGCCAAGTCATATTAATGCAAGATCAGTAGAATCGATAAAATCCAGCAGAACGAATAAAGACATTACATACGCCGACTTGATAAACCACTTATCGGCAACAAATCTGTCTAGTAGAGCCTCCGCATCTCGCTTTGTCAACACCAGCACTTTATTTTCCTTGTTCTTGAGATGTCCTGCTTCATGTAATGCAGCTGTAGCACTGATGCAATATGTCTCGTCGTCAGCCATCACTATTGCATCCAACTACATAATAGAACAACGATCAATAATTGATTATAGACTGTGAGCAGCTTGTCAATCCAAACACCTTTAATGTTACTTCGTCCCTTCCATATCCTGTTGGAACCTACTAGGTGCTTAAAGTACTCTAGCTCTGTGGGAGTATACCCTGTTGCCACTTGGGCAATCTTTTGGCCATTGGTATTTGTCTGTTTTCAAAAAAGAAGAAAAATAATGTCGATGTAAAATATAGGAAATGCGTCAAAAGCAATGTATCAAGCGCCCGGTGACCCGCTTTGGATATGAATGACAATACAGCAACAAAAGGGGTGCTTACAAGCGCAATAACAGGTGTTCCTGTGACTTCATCCTGTGCCTTGCGAAACTCTAGCTCCACACTATTAAGTCCTGTGTTCAACTGATCTACAAAGTCAGAGAATTGCTCCCGATCGAATCGATCTATGCAATTTGTACAAAATCAAGCAAGGTTTTCCGTTAATCACACTGTAAAAGATATTGTATAAAAAGGGCTCCTGATTCATTAGTATATTAATTTGCCACTAACTTTCTTAATAACAGTAATAAAAATAGAATTAAAACATGCCATTTGTAGCCTGACAAACTCTTGCATAAATGTCCAAAGCAACTACTTCGGTCATAATTCGGCGAGACATTGCTGCTTGGAGGAACAAGCGATGTGTGTCTGTGAATCCCGAGGCGACCATGGTGGATTTGCAAGGTGAACAATAGCTGTAGTGAATTGGGAAATGGAATCTTTCCTTTCATTGAGAAACACGACATTTAGAAAAGCCACAGAGATGTAAGGTCCAGAAGCTTTAGCTCGCAGACGAATGTTGACTCGACATTCCTGTCTCGACATTAATATGAAAGAGAAAGATTTGCTCACAAATTTCCTTGTAGGAAATGAGCTACACGATGTCGTGACTCTAAATCAGTTCATTCAGTTTTTCCCTAGTCAGTATCGCTCGCACCCAGAAGTGAAGGACCTCTATCGAACCTACCTAAATGCACGGCATCAAACTAGGACAAAGGTCCGTAAGAATATCGACATTGAGGTCAGACGGAATCCCCTTTTATTAGATTCAAACAGTGGACATGATGTGGACACCTCCAAGACACTAAGACTGCATGATAATGGGGATATAGACAGGGGTATCTCCACAGATGATGATGTGGACATAGAGGTATTGATGCCGTATTTGTTTACCATAAAGATCAATAAGCACAAAGCTCAAGCCTGACCGGTTTGGTTATGACATTTATTTAATTTGATCATAGGATGTGGATAAGCACCTAACCCTGGACCAGGCGATTCAAGAGCTGATTCAAGCAGAGAAGATCTACAAACGAGAGATCACGCAATTGGAGCAAGAATGTAATGATTTTGCAGAGGAATTTCAAAAGTAAGCAGAAATAGCCATCCCGTCTCTATTGGGGTTTATTTCTTTGGTATTTTATTTCGTCCAGATGATTTGATACGAATATTGTGTGTCGTTCATTATAGGCTTGACAGGGAGATGGAAGGGGTTCAAGTCCCTGGACATCATTTAAATAGCCTACGCGAGGAATCCCTTATGAAAGACATTCAGGTAATACACATTATTGCTTTGTTGCTTGATTGGTATAATTTGATGAATCAACCTTTGCTGAATATGTATCTGATTTTTGAATCATAGAAATTGATTCAATTATGTGACTCAATCACAGACAAAATCCCAACAGATTCTTCAATGGATTAAGGACCTTTTATGTAGAGCCATTTTTATCCCTTTTTGTTTGTATTTCTATCCAATATTACCATGTATTTTAGTATAAATAAAAAAATAAAAAAATAAAAAGTCCGTGGTTATGGACATGGGTGCATACACCATTACATTGCACTATCATGAATGTCTTATGGATCACCATCAGGCCAAATTATCTTTGTTGTTGAGAGTTATGATCTAAATAGAGAACATTTTTTGAAAGCGTCCTTGACTTCCTGATTCCTCCGGATAGGCGAGGTGGAGAGACATGTGAGGATATCTTCAGGCTGTTCTCTCCAGGTGACATGGGGGACGTCTAATGCCGAAAGGCTCGCTGCTAGAGACTCCAATTGTGGCAAGTTTTTGACCTGAGATTCATACGGAAGATAAAACCGAGTATCAGTATAGTGTGGTTAAAAAAAAAAAAAAAAAAAAAAAAAAAGACATTGATACGTGCTTGCCCTCCTTACTCTTCTCGGAGAGCATTTGAACACGTACTTCGAGAACAACCTTGTGCATGTTGTTCAAATCTGCAAGATATTCACGAGTATCTTTCAGCTCTTGAGTCTTGTACAAGACTGCTGTGGAAGCATGACAAGCTTGAGCAATTACACTGACATTATAATAATACAAACACTAGTTGATCAGTGCTTGAAGGCGCAATTGCTACTAAGTAGGGTACTTAATAAATTAAGCACCATCATTACCTGCCCGTCGTCCAGCCAAGCGTCTATTGGATCCAGTGGAGGAGTAAGTACATATTAAACTCTCAATCAGTGAATTAATAGGCGCGTTTGATGAACATGACCAACTGCTCACTGGGTAGAGTAGTACGGATACCTTGATCAAATCCTTGCGGATGACTATGAACATAGTCAGAGGGTCGGCCATAGTCGGTATCTTGCTTGTACGTTTGTAAACTGTTTTTTTTTTTTTTTTTTTTTTTTTTTTTTAACTGCAAACGAAATAGGAAAAGAAAAAACGTCATGAAATTCCAATGGGAAATAAAGCCAATGTTTGTCTGGAAATAGGTCCAATTTTTTCTCCATATTGAAATCCTTTTTTTTTTTCATTGGCGGCAGTGACCCATATTGATGTTCAGTCTTCTTCCAACAAGCCGAATTTTTTCCGGATTTGTGGATTTTCACTTCTATTCATTTCAATTCAATAAATATATCAAACTTTATTTCTTCTCATTCATTTTCACTCATTCTGATTCACTTCATGTCATATCGCGATATTCGTTAAATAGCTCCAATTGCCTTTGAGCTGCAACCCAGCGTTTCAATAACAGAGGGTCATCGATTTTGCCCCAAGCATCCATAAATCGCTGAAAGTTTTCTTGTAGCTCCTCTTTGTTTATATCTTGGTAATCATTTATCGTCGGACTGGATGGAGGTGACTCGAGCTCGTCTGATAGCCCTTGGGGATCTGAGTCAAGAACACTGGATTCGTAGTCAACACCATCTTCGTCATCGTCTAGATTATCGTCCTCGTAGACAATACTGTATGTTCCTCTCGAGTCCTCTACATAGCAATAGCAGTAAAGTTCCACCGGTATACTTTTATTTAACAGTAGATGAATAACCGATCAAAGGTCGCTTTTTTGGCTTGAGTAGTTTTATATTTATGCGCTATGGACAGTAAAGGAGCTCTATCCACCGAAGAAAAAATTTATTAAAAAGGGAGAATTCCTAGACAAACCATCGGAACAAAGCAACATATCCTCCAATCCTCTAACCTATCCTCATTATAAAAAAGAAATGTCACCTCCACAAAACAAGTATGGGCCTGCGAAAGCCATTGAATTTTATAATAAAAACACGGTCATCTTCTTGACAGGTGCTACGGGCTTCATTGGCAAGGCCATCTTGGAGAAGCTACTGCGTTCTTTCCCCCAGATCACAAAGTAAGTGCCCTTTTCTTTTGCTTTTTTTTTTTTTTTTTCAAGTATCAGGTTCGACTGTAAGACAAGCGTTAATGTTTTGTTTTTTTATGAAAACATCAGGATCTACTTGCTGATCAGGGTCTCGGGGAAGAAGACATTGAAAGATCGTATTGAGAATATATTTAGCAGCAGGATTTTTGATACTGTCAAGTCCCAATTCTCAAGTGCTCAAGAGTTTCAAGAAAAGATTGTCCGCAAGGTTGTGCCTGTGAAGGGAGATATTTCTGCCAATCATCTGGGTCTCTCAGACGAGGATATGGCTATGGTCCAGGAAGATACCACAGTTTTCATCAACAGCGCTGCCTCTATCAAATTCAATGACCCGTTGAAGACTGCCCTTGAGGTAAAATATACGAAATACAAGAGTAACAATACCTGTCAAACAACACGCAGTAGATAACTTATTTTGTTTTTCTTTTTCTTTCTTTTTCTTTCAGATAAATACAAATGGCCCTCTCCGCATATTCGAAATTGCCAAGGGCTGCAAAAATTTAGCTGCCATCGTTCATATCTCGACTTGCTTTGTCAACGCACCCATGTTTGAGCAACATATTGACGAAATCATCTATCCGCACCCACTTGGTGATGATCCTGAAGCCATCTATGATATGCTGTCCACCAAGATGTCCTCCAAAGAGATAAAAGATTATGAGGAATCTGTGGTCCTCAAGGCTTACCCCAATACATACACATTCGCCAAGTCCTTGGCAGAACATTTGATAAAGAGCCGATATAGGGATATGGCTCTCCCTATTGTCATTGTCCGCCCTGCCATTGTCACTGCTGCCTACAAGGAACCAGTTCCTGGATGGGTAGAAGGGTCTGCTGCAACCAACAAAGCGATTGTGGCTGGTTCGATCGGTCTAATTCAAGAATGGATCGGTAACGAGGTAATTAAGCAGAAGTCAGTAAAAAAAAAAAAAAGAAAGAAAGAAAGAAAGAAAGAGCGCTATATTTATCAAAGTCAAGGCAAATATTGATGAGTGTTTCTATGTTTTCACAATAACCTTCTAGTCCACTAAAACAGACCTAGTTCCTGTCGATTTTGTGGTCAAAACGACCCTTCTCTCCGCCACGACTGCTGATCGCACACTCACAGAGCCTCGCATATATCATGTCGGCACCAGCTGTATTAATCCCATCACCTGGGGTGAGTTTAAAACGTATTTGAATTCATACCTTATCGTAGCTGGACCACCAAGTCAACGGATCTCAGATGACATTCGGTGCGATTTTTACCTTCCTGCAGAATTTGAACGTCGATTTGAAGCCCGCTTTGGAGAGCTGATCCGAACTTTGGATCAGCACAAAGATAATGAGAAGCTCAAGCGTCAAATCATCATGGCAAAGAATCTGATCATCGACTTCAAAGCCTTTACCTTAAACCAATGGTTCTTTGATGTGACCAATACATTGGCCCTTGACGATGCTGCACCTGAAGAGCTCAAAAGCGAGCTCAAGAGCGGGCTCAAAGAAGGTATGGATTGGCACAGATATATGGTGTGCTACGCCTCAGGCGTGCATCGCTTTATTCTAGGTGAGGAGGTCGCTATACCCTATGGAATGGTCGCAAAAGAAAAGATCACGGGCAGACTCTAGGGTTTTATATATTTATTTATTTACTAGGCAGGCGATCCGTGGCTTCGCTCACGGTCGCCCCGGTCTGGTGCTTTGATTCGTTGGGAACAGTGGTTTTTTTTTTTTTTTTAAAGGAAAATATTAATAGATAAATAACAAAATAAAGCAGAACCGCTGGTTTTGTCTTTGCACCAACGATACACGTCCAACAATTTGCATAGTTTCTGACAATTAGATTTTGGGAAATGTGTTGAGTCCAAGGGTTCTTACTAAATGAATTGCAGGTACTATCTGTTAATATGTAAGGCATTTAAAGTTAGTCCAGAAATTCAGGGACAAGAGATTAGGTAGAAAGGATACAGGAGACGGAAATAAACAGAACTTACAAATTCTTGTGGGTGTGCCGGCACCCAAATACTTGTGCCTAGTGTCTTGCGCGCTTTGCAGCCGGAGCAGGCGACTCTTCCGTGGGCTTGTACTTTGCAGGTCTCCCTTGCCTCTCAATTTGTGCAAGACCGATTCTTGCGATGTTTTCCGCTTCTACTGCGTCACGGCCGAAGAATACCTTACATGTCCAGCAATATTTAGAGCGAGGGTACACCGCTTCTAAAAAGCTATCGCAGAGAAGTCGGGGACAGCGGGCGCTGGTGTAAAATTCGTGCGCCCCTACAGCGAAGTGTCCTCGTGCTTTGACCTAAGCGCTTCAAATGGCAGTCATTTATCAGCAAGGGTTCTATGGCTCTCCAGCTTTTTCTTATTTTTTTAAAAAAAAGCCATATCTGTGTGACAAGGTGTCTCGTTACTGCAGTGTGCTTGCTGGGAACTCCTTTACTACTTTCAAAGGACCCTAGGCCGACGACACTCGCTGTACCGCGTAGTCGAACGTAGCTCGTTGAGCCTTTCGTAAGTCCCATTTTTTTTAGGTGTCATCTGGACTCGTAGAACTCTTGAAGCACATCCAAATTCTTTGATCCTGTCTGTGTCTAGGACTCCTCGTTCATCCATTGAAAGCACTCATTGTACGTATCCCTTCCAAATACAGGGATGGCGCTCTCAACCTCAATCATTCCTTTTTCACGCTTCCTTTTGTTCAGCAGGTGATTGAAGTGGAGGACGGGAAGGTACAGGAACCTACTTCTCACCTTTAACGTTTGCCGCAAGTTAGGGTTGTAAGGGTCCAGCGAGGAAAACGTAAGGGCGTTAGCAATACCAGGATCGCACCCAACAATGGTTGTGGAGTTTGCGGATGGGCATCGCTCTGGTTCGTTGAATGTGAGCTCAACGTATTCAAGCAGTTTGGAGCTCCTCTTAATCGAACGACTCGAATTATCTAGAGATCTGTAACTTAAGGGCGTCATTCGAACCCATTTGAGTTCGATATGTTCGAATCGATTAGGAGCACTGCCCGTACGCTATCGCCATGGACATGGACGTGGACAAAGACATGAACAAACGGCTCAAATTCGACCAACTGCTGTCCCTAGCGAAGCGTTGTAAGCGTTTAGTTTTTAAACTGTCTTGCAATACATCGCTTACGATATCTGGATACTAATGAAGAGAGTTTTGGCTTTGCAACTGGGATGTTGTCCTTGATGATCTGACAGAGCTTTGATGCTGGCCCGCCAGGAGCCTTGAGCACTTCTTTCTGACCCCAGCCTCTATTCGTTTATTCTTCCAAAAGCGCTCGAACAGCATTTCCAGAGATTCCAAGTAAAGGGACGCTTCATCATTGGATTGCAACTGGCGGAGGGTTGAGAACAAAGAGCTTTTGAAGGAGTGAGAGCATTGGAAGGATAATTTACAAAACTAAAGGTACCGAATAGGACATGAACCTTTACAGTATTCAGTTTATGATTAAACGGATATATGGTTACCTCAATTAAAGACCACCATCCCATATCCCCTGCGCATGTTTTTTTGTGGCTGCTTGCGGCACATCTGTTTATCAACAACCTATTCCTACTCGCTATAGCCTCATCAAATAACATCGCCTTCTTCTTAGCGGAATAACGCCTCACAGTGGACGTGCTCTTTCGTAAGGCACTACTTTGGTCCCTACACACACTTCTTTAAGTGTTTGATAATGGTCTCTTCCTTAACGCTCGGAGTAGAGACACGCACCATTACTACTTGTCTGTCGCAAGGCAGTTATTTATTTAAGCCAAACAATTTCTCTTAAATACTCCTACACTATTTCGGTGATCAAACTAGTAAAGTAATCAAAAGAGTCAATGTTGTGCGTTTTCTAACAGTGCCAAGGCCTCTTGGTTGTCGATCAAGGCACCCTTATTTATAGAGAGTCAAAGCCGTGTTGGTCTTGAGTGCCCCTAACAGTGCCGAAGCTCCTTCGTCCCCAATTAAGTAGTTGTGCCTCAAGTCCAAACTGGTCAAAGTTCTGTTAGTCTTGAGTGCCCCTGCCAGCGCCAGAGCTCCTTTAGTCCCAATCGAGTTGTATTTTAAGTCCAAAGCGGTCAAAGTGGTATTAACCTTGAGCGCCTCCGATAGTATCACAGCTCTTTCATTTCCAACTGAGTTGTTCCCCAAGACCAAAGTAGCCAAAGCTGTGTTAGCTTTGAGTAAATTTATAAGTGCTTGAAATTCACTGGCTCCAATCGATCGAAAGCTCATCTCAAAGGACAACTTATGAAGTTGTGGAAGATGTGGCGGTCTTTTGGGTCGTAAAGTGAGGAGTCTTGTAAGATCTGAAGTTAGAACAATATGAATTAATTTCATCTTGCAGAATTCTATGATGCGGACAAGTATTTCATATCGCATAGATGGTGGAAGTGGCTCCCCGCTGACATTTTCTTGAAGCCTTCCAAGTCCAAGTCGAAGAATCGATACATTTGACACCTTTAAGATATTCTCAAATGCTTCAAGATCAGACTCGGCCCAATCCCAGTCAAATGTGATGTCCAACTCGTAAACACGTCCTGCATTGGTTAGGACATTGAAGAATTCTTCAGCTCTGGCTTTGGATCCCAGTTTGATAACCAGTTTGCCAAGGTGGGAGTCGTATTTGGCATTATTCATTTTCACTACATCTTCAAACGCTTTCTGCCTTTTTTCCTTATACATCGAACGATAGTGGTTGTGACAAACCCATTTGACATAGCCTGTTTCGGTCGTGACCCTGTACAGGTTACCAAGGTCCTTGTTCCCATCTGTAATCCGAAAAGATGTGCCCAGCTGTCGGAGTTCAGTTTTTTTGAGCCCTTCAAAGTCATTAATTGTGCTGATCTTGTTCAAGGCCGGATACTTCTTGGAGAGCGCTTGTAAATAGTCGATTGAATAGTCAATACCGGCATCGATTAAACTTGGGTCTGGTGCCAGAGAATCAGGTAAGGCCATTCCCAGCTTGAGCCAATGTAAGAGGATGAGCATGTACTTTCCATACTTGCGAAAGAACCCTGTGCAGTCTCGAACTTCATATCCATCATGTCTAGCAATGTGGATTTGACCCGGGTTAGGTTTGTTGGCCATCGCGGTGTAGTCTCCACATTCACATAAGAAATGGACGCGGAACTTGTTCCCCAAGAGTTTTACTGGGTCCCACTTGGTGCAATTAAGAGGCAAAATTATAAACAAACGAGGAAATGGGCATTCATGAAGCTCAAAATCCTGAGTGAGGATAGAATGAGCATGCTTTTGATGCATGGTAAGGTTGTTTAAGGCCTGGGCTTGCATTTCATCGTCCTTCTTCTTAGTCTCCATTTCACCACCCTTCTTCCTAGCCTCCAATCGTAGTTTAAGCATCTCGTCTTGTATTTTGAGCATTTCACCATCCTTCTCTTTGGATTTCAATAGCATATTAATTATCTCGTCGTCCTTTTCCTTGAGCTCCAATTGCAGATTAGCTATCTTTTCGTTAATCATCTTGCTGTCCTTCACTTTGGCTTCCAGTAGATTAATCTTGGCATCCTTCTCGCTGGCTTCCATCAACAGATTAATTATCCTGTCATCCTTTTCTTTGGCTTCCACTAAATTGGTCATCTTGTTGTCCTTCTCTTTGGCTTCCAGCAGGCTAATCTTGGCATCTTTCTCGCTGGCCTCCAATAGCAATTCCGCAATCATTGCAAGGTTAGAGTTGATCGTCTCGATTTGAGCGTTGTCGGGAGTAGTAAGAAATGAATTGAGGCATTGAATCAAGTTCGATAATGGCAAAAGAGGATCCTGTGTAGTCAGATTTACCGACTTTCTCAAAGCAGGTAAACGGATGGCGGCGTTGCTGTTACTTTTACTACTGCCTTTGCCGTTGCTGCTGCTTTTGATGCTATTGCTACTAGTGTTGCTGCTGCTGCTGTTGGTATTGGTATTGGTGTTGGCATTGGTGTTGCTGGACCGTGGCACTCCTGTAACGACGTCCAAGATCTTGTAAGGATAGTATGCAATGCGTGGAGGTTCGATTCTAATAAGGAGAGAGACACCAAATTTAGCTCCTTCATCTTTTTTTTCAGAGACAATAACAATTGATAAGGCGCACCATAATCAACAAAGTACCTGTTGCCATTAGGGTCTACAAGGAATGGGATGGGAAGTTCACCCAACTTGAATCGCATTGCATCTGGAAACACATCTCGAATGTCTTGCAAACTTATGTAGTAGGACGAGTTGTCATTGCCTGAAAATTTGGAAGCATTCCTGACGCAAACTGTTTCGATGACGCCGGCTCTTCGGAATTGTTGGTATTGAAGCTTCATCATTTCGATGGATGATGAGAGAATGAAGACTTCCTTACTTCTCTTTTGGCCGATGTCTTTTTTTTTTTTTTTTTTTTTTTTTTCAACTTCGCCACTTGGAGTGACAGGAGTGAGAGAGTACAAATTACAAACAGTAATACAGATTAGATGCGGCTTAACAAAGTTGCTGTGCTAATTAACTAGTCTTGCTTGATCGACTGGTCGCATTTTCATCTAAAGGTTTAAACTGCACATTTACAGCCTGGTTGAAGGTGAAGTGGCCTTTGTTGGGATGCTGCATCTATCATGACCACCCATAATACTTTTTCCTGCAATAGTTGGAAATATAAAAAGTACGCCTTGAACTATTGATATGAGCAGCATAGTCGTACTCAGCGTACTGGACTTGAGAGATCACTCAACGGTTATGGTAGAAATCTCAGTTAGTCAGTGGTACGGCGGCAGGCGTCAAAAGAAGAAGAGAAGTTGTACACAGCATCCTTCAAAGATCAATAGGGTAATTGTTATCATTGATCAGAAACCCAACGAATAAACAAGCGCTCGACCAGAACCATCCCAACCAAAGAAAAAAAAGAACATTATCAGATTAAGTCACTAATCCATGCAGTGTCGAGTATGATTCCCATTCAAGAGCACCAGTTTTTCACCGTTTTCAGAACAGAAAGCGTTTTTATCAGATTGGGTCTGGTTCACAGCAACAACGTGATGCATTCGTTTAAAAGTAATTTAGACACAACATATTAAAGGCCACAATGACGTATATTTTGCTCTTAATTGGTCCCCCTTTTTTCTCTTCTTGTTTCTTTCTTTCTTTCACACCCCAGTTGAACAACCACTCGCCTATTATTGTTATGACGTATGTGGCTACTAACTAATCCAGGGGAAGAATGAACATTACATTCACTTACAGTACATGGTCATTCAGATCTCTGATGCGGCTCGCAATGCCATGGCCATCACCTTTGTGTTTGATATTTTATCTGTATCTTTTCATGTTCAGCTTGACCAATCCTGATCACGAAATTAATAAAATCCAATAAACGCGAAGAATGTCGCGCGCTATTCAAACAGATTGCATGTGTTGCTTAATTGCATGCGTATTTGTGTATCTGTGAACACGTACATGTTTTCTGCCTCAAACAAGGACATGTTCTTTATATGCTTAAAGAATGAGAAGATATTGGGTTGCAGAGTTTGATCAATAGACTCGAGGCGTTGTAAATAATAGACATTTGACTCGAGGCGTTATAAATAATAAACATTTGTTTCCTTTAAAATAACGTAAGGAAAGAGAAACAGAAAGAGAAAGAAAAGAGAGAATTGGATGATAGGAGGAAAAAGAAGAAGAAGAAGAAGAAGAAAAGAAAAAAGGTGTGATTGATCAATCATTTACTTAGGTCTTTGATATGTGTTTCTTTTACTTTCTTTTACACGACACATTTCACATTAATCATTTCGTCGCCGAAGTAAGCGCAAACATTCCATTTTTCGCACAAAGTCGATTTCCATTCGCTACTTTTATTTCCACCCACCCGAATAGTCCTCAAATGCATGTCCCAGTGTCTACCGCTGACTGTTCTTCCCTCTGTTGCTCACCAACATTCACTATCGGCAGTCCCCTCCACAAGCTGTGTCTATTTAAAAAAGACTTCTTTTTTTTAAACTACTTCTGCTAACACTTCGTTTGGTCTTTGCATACACTCCCTCACTCACCTATACAGCATAAACATATCGTGCCTCTTCCAGTCCGCTGGCGCTGGCATACAGCAAATGCCTTTTCCTATCCCTTCTAATGACCTCATGGCCACTGCCATGGGTGGTCCATTACTCTCAACCACATCCAGTAATGTCTCATCCAACAATTTAACATTAGCTTCTGCTGTGGCTACTACTTCTGCCAAAGCTAAAAAAGATGTCCGGGCAGGCTCTGGCACAGGCACTGTCCGAATCTTTTATTCTCTCAAAGAAAATCCAAATGCCATCATCTCATACACTGACCTGATCCGTCAAGAGCAGAAACGTCAACGCATGATTCAAGTTCAGTCGTCGTCTTTGCCATCTAAAAACAATGTCACACCCAATATAGCAAACTCAGCTCCGTCAACGCCCCTCAAAAATCAAAAGACCAAAGAGGGTGGCGCTACTACTACTCAACCATCACCATCAGTATCAGCCATGGATATCGATCCACCAGAAGGTGAAGAAGCTCTTGGAGATGTGGAAGCTGATAGTGAGGCGGAAGACGACGACGAGGCAGACGAAGACGAAGACGAAAATGAAAATGAAGATGATGCTGAGGCTGAGGAGGAGGAGGGCGACGAGGATCCGGATGAGGAAGAGAATGATGACGACGATCTTGACTCTGCAAGACGTGGGCCAAAAGACTTTTTGGATTCCCTCACTGAAAAATATGCCGGTCTAGAAGAAGGAAATGAAGGCGAAGACGAAGACGAGGACGAGGACGAGGATGACAAGGTAAGGGAGGATGTTCACATGGTTAATCTCAAATTGCTCATTAATATGATTTAAACGATCATATTATATTACATTGTATGCTATCTTTCTTCTTTTTACTACACATTTTTCAAAAAAAGAGTTTGAAAGTGCATGGTCACACGCGATATATTTGATCAATGAATGTGTCAGTGCACTCGCAACGTCGAGTACAGTACGCCAGCCGACAACAAATCCTAATTAAAGAATGATCTATCATTCATTAGATCTAAATCAACACGTGCTTTGTATTTCTGTTCCATATAGGGACGTGTCTACAAGCGATCAAGTAGATGGGATACAGAACACTACGACATTGAAGACGAATTTATCGATGATAGCGAGATGATGCTCGAATCCATCGGTATGGTACGGCCCAAAGTTGAAGGGTTTTTTGCGTACCGTGGCCCTGTAGAAACCACCACAGAGGATCCGTAAGTGAAGTAGCTTCGTTTATGGGATGTAGAGAATAGACAGCACCACGCTTGATTTCATTAATATGACTAACATTGACTTGTCTTTTATTTTTCACATGAGAGTAGCGATTCATCTGATGCGGGACTACGCACAAGAAAGGCAGGAAAGAGAAAAACAGCAGCTGGTGCTTCACCATTGAGCACTGTCAAAACCAACGCATCGAAATCAGCAAAGGGATCTAGCTTGGCTATCATGGAGAATGCCAACGATTCGACATCAGAGATGAGTGAAATGGATGAGAAGCCTAAAACTAGCAAAGCATCGTCCTCGGGTTCAGGACTAGCAAATTCTTCTACCGTCCCAGCTGATATTACAGGGGGTGAAGGAGGTATGAGCAGCGTGACAACGACTCCGACCAAGAAAAAGACAAACCTTTCAAAATCTAAGGCTTTAGCGAAGGAAACATCGAAAGATGGGACGGAAGCAAATAAAGATTCTGATAAGGAGTCAAAAGCTGGATCTAATAAGAAAACAAAGTCAAAGTTGCCGAAAGCCACCACCAGTTCGACATTAGCAGCAACTTCTGTTACTCCTATTGTTCGAGTGGATTCGCCTCCGCCTCTTGATGGGGTCCAAGATAATGGAGACAACTCAAGTCCGCCACTTCCGATGTCTCGCTCAGCATCTCCATCTAGATCGAAAGGGAAATTAAAGGCACCAGCAGCAATGGATACGGATTCTTGTAATGCTGAAGGTTCTGTCGAGCTTGCTGGGTCACAAGAAAGCTCTTCTGGACAGAATGTATCGGAATCACAACTAGTAAAGCCGGAATCTTTGCAGGAATCGGTCACATCCACTTCAGAAGTAACTGAGCAAAGCACCCAGTCGACGGGATCAAAGGCTTTGGAGCCCCTCAATGAAATGGTACAGGAGGCATACAACATTGTTGCTGACCTTGCTAGGAAAGGTAAAGAAGAGGCTTTATTGCTTACTGTATGGAAAGTATCACACAATCTGAAGCCATAGTCGCCCATGCTTATTACTTTTTGTTGCGCACCTTTAGAAACCTGGGAGCACAAGTCAAAGTTCCCTCCGCACATCAAGGAGCCTCTCTGGAATTGCGCAAAAATCGCTCTTCGAACACGATCGAGCGGATATATGCTCAAGGATGATTTCTTTCTCCATCTTCAAGAGGTTTTCCCTTATAATAAATTTACGCTCCGGGTAATAATAATTATAATTTCATTAATCTTGTATATTTTGTGAATATAAATGATGAGAGTCCAAGAAATGGATCACACGGATTAAAAAGCTAATTTCTCTTGTACAATGAAATCCGTATTAGAAACTCATTTATAAGCAAGTATTGCCAGAGTGGATAGCAGAGCTGGAGGAAGAAAAGACTAAAGCCATGGAGCAATTCTCAAAACGCGTAAAGATGATTTCTAAGGCTTACAATTTGACCGACATTGAAAACGCTCCATCAGATAAAGACGGCGATGGGGATACCAACATGAATGGGGAAGAAGGTAAAGACAAAAAATGATTATCAGGAAGTTCTTTTGAAGATATTCATTGAATTATGCTTCATTGGGCCTATTGATTCGCATTTTTTATTTTATTTTTCTTTAATTTATTTATTTATGAATTTATTTGGACAAATTTTTAGTCAAACGGAAATTCCCTTGGACTCAAGACCTTAGGATGCTACTATGGGAGACTATGGAAAAAATCATGGAGATTTACTACGCGAGGCAGGAGCTCAGGACTGTCGACGATAGTGTGCCTGCACAAAACACAGACTCGAAGACTCGGAAGGATACTTATCAACTGGTACGTGTGTAGGACAGCCCCGCAAGGAACCGTCTTTGAAGACAGAGGCTCATTGGAAGACATGAATAGCAACTCACCTCATATTGCATTATGCTTTAGCTTTTACAATCATTTCCTGTTGGCTGGATGACATCGTATGAAATCTCGCGTCAATATAGCCAGCTGAAGGAAAAAGTACAGAAACAAGGAAAGAAACCAGATGATTCTGCCAACAACGGAGTACCCATTGGAAAACCCAAGCCCATACTTTCAGGGAATTCAGGACCAAGATCGTCCATTCACACCACTGCTGCGCGAAGTGCAATCCCATCGTCATCTACGGGTGCTACTGCTGATACAACGGTGAGTCCTTCTACTGTGGCGTCGACAGGATCGAGCTCTGCCCAGAACCTCACATCACCAACAACGGAGCTAGGATCTCCCTCAGCACCTGCGCCGGGATCATTGGCAGTCTCTGCAGCAACGGTTGGACTTGACGGACCCATTGAAAACCATCGTATGTCTAGCCCATCCAGATCACCCTTGATAACACACCGCCCTATTCAAGTGCCCGAGGCTGTCAGTCCAGTGCCCCAACATTCTCGATCTCAGCATGGCCCGTTTGCGGGAGGTCCAGCATCCAGCTCTAGTTCGAACGATATTAGCAAAAAAAGAAAGAATCTTGATGAAGGTAGGGTGATTTTTACATTACAATCTATTACAATTGAGATAGGACGTTACATTAAGAATGCTTTTTTTTTTTCTTTCTTTCTTTCTTTCTTTCTTTCTTTCTTTCTTTCTTTCTTATCTTGCTTGCTTTCAGCCTCGATCTCAATGTATGGAAGTGGATCAAGTCATGATCCTTTGTTCATTGATGAATCAGGATATGATGAGTCTCTTAATCGTCGTGGTTATCGACAGAATAGTGGGAGCCTTACAGACTATGTACGGCCCTCCTCGTCTAGTCCGTCCATAAGTTCGATTGGACAGCCGATGTATGCTGTTCCGAATGAGAGTACTAAAAAGAAGAAGGTTGCAGATCAAAGACATGCAGTTTTATCTAGTTCCAATCATCGTGGATTGAGTACATCGTACTATCAAGAGTATACGGACTATCCGGAATATAAAGAGTATTCAGAGTATCAGGACTATCCTGGATCTAGAGAGTCATCTATATATCAGTCGCAGCGCCACCCTGCATCGCCACCTCAGAATTACCCAGGACATGGATCACTTGGCTATCCTGGTTCACGGGCTCAACATTCACATTATCAGCATGAAGTGCCGCCAGATCCCTATTATCATCGGCATGTTTCATCTCCAGGGTCTTCACCAGGAGGAGGAGGAGGAGGAGGAGGAGGAGGAGGTTATTCTTCATCGGCACATCCGACTAGTGCATCAAGAGCTATGCAGCATCAACAGCAACAAGGGTCTTCATTAGGGAGTCCATCGAGTGGATCTGCATCGAAGGCAATGTCGATGAACAACCTCTTGCACCATCCTTCACATCATACGCGCTGAAGATGGGATTGAGGAAAATGACAACAACCCTTTTGCATTAAACACGATCAATAGTTTTTGATTTATTTAGGCATCTTGTAAGATATTCTCTCATTTAAAGAAAAAGAAAAAGAAAAAGAAAGATTGAATCAATATATTTGATGTGTACGACATGTTGAAGGATGAAAGATGGCTGGTTGTAAAAAAAAGAAAAAAAAGATTTTTTTAAATCCTCGTAAAACAACGTGAAGGATAATGTCCTAAAAGGGTATTCTAGGAAACGCGCAGAAATTTAAAGTTGTTAGTTATTTCCTTGGGAAGACAACAGTAAAAAAAAAGAAAAAAAAAAAAATAATGAATAAAAAGCCTTTTATTAAGCAAGGGTTCAATCCCGCAATCTATCGACCTTCCAGACGTTACTTGCTTTAGAGATAAAAGTAAAAACACACACATTTATGCAAGTGTGTTGCCTTTCTTTCCAAAAAGGATTTTTTTTCTTTTTTTTACTTTCCACGTTGCGTTGTCTGACCTTCTTTTGCACATCAACGGAACAAAGTATATACCACAGATTCGTCTTTGCTTTGTTAATCGAAATAACAATTAAAGAGACTAAACAAAGCAGCTTTGTTCCCCTTTTTCTCTTTGTCTTTTTCCTTATCCTTCCTTTTCCTCTTTTGTCTTTTTCTTTTTCTTTTTCTTTTTTTTTTAAATCTTTTATTACTCCATTTATTCCTTCCTTAAGCATCGTTAGGAGCTGATTAGTAATTTCACCATAGAAAACAAGAAAACAAGAAAACCAAAAAAAGGAAAAAAAAAAAAAAAAGTGATTCTCTCAACACCTGATCAAAAGAAAAAGAAAAAGAAAAAGAAAAAGAAAAAGAAAAAGAGTGTTGTCTGATCTTGTCTCCACATTCGACCAAACTCAATCTCATTTCACTGGGTGCTCACCATTTCCTTATTGCCAACAACTTTATATTCGTGTTCAACAGATTTAACAAAGAACACCGTAAAAAGAAACACATAATGCCGCCCACGCGGAAGAAGAGCACGACAGCCAAAGGCACAGCTTCGATTGTAGAGGGACTCTCATTTGACAACAAAGAGGAGACCATGGCAGAGATCCTTGGCAGATTAGAGAACCTTAAAGACAAAAGGTACTAATTGCCACCAGTCGCTTCGACCTCCTTCCTCACACCCTCCACATTCAAAAAGAAAAACAGAAAGGAAATGTTTTTGGACGATCTCTCCGAACAATGTGGACTCTTGGGCCCTAGGACTATACACAGGCCATCTCACACTCTTTTTTTTTTTTTTTTTTTTTTTTTTTGTTGTGGTTCTACATAGTGGTCGGTCTATATCAGAACTGTTTCTGACCCTGCCAGAGCAGGAGGACTACCCTGATTATTACATGATCATCAAGTCTCCAATTGCATTCGACATGATTAGGGTATGTCTTCATTCTTGTGCATTTGCAATTGCTTTGTTCCCCCACTCTCTCCCCTTTTCTCTTTTTATTTTTTTTTATAGTTTTTACGTGTTTTATGCCATATCTTTCTTGCCCTTTTCAAACCATGAGCTGCATTCCTATTACTATCATTACTACCATGATTATTAAACGGTGGTTATGCCCTCCTATGATTGTCACAACCTGATTTTTACTGCATCGAAAAGTGTTGTGGAGTAAAAAAAAAAAAAAGTGTTGTACAAGCTTTTGAAATTCTAATGCACTTTCTGTGTGATTTAGGACCGTTTGAAAGCTGGACAATATGCAGGCGACAATCTGGATGACTTTGGCAAGGATCTGAAGACGATGATCAGCAATGCCAAAACTTATAACCGCGAAGGCTCAATGGTTTATAGAGATGCCACAGTACTCGAGGTAACAATAAAAATGAAAAATAAAATTGATAAACGGATATATACTCTAATTACAACGAGTGGCAAAACTAAATTATCCTCCGTTCTTTTTTTTTTTTTTTTCCTTTTCTTTCTTTCTTTGTTTCTTTGTCAATAGAGTTATATTGATGCTGTCATAAAAGCATTAAAGGGTGACAGTTCTCATATTAAAATAGAGGTACAAATGTTCAAGTCTCCAACACCACGGTGCTCTCTTTCACTTTTCTTGTTTAATTAATATCTAACTAGGCAACAACATCATTTCATGTTACTTTTTAGTTTTCGCCAGAGTTTTGCCAACGTGTCTTGGACACAATCAAGTATCACGAGGATAAAGAGTAAGTCGTATTCAAATATAGCCATTGTCACCAAGCTTCATATGCGTACATCTTTTATCTCCTTGACATCTTATTCGCTGTATGGTCATTATGTGTAGTGGACGACAAGTGGCCGAACTATTTATGGAGTTACCGAGCAAGGACGACTATCCGGATTATTATGATGAGGTATAGCCACAATAAATGAGACTATCACCCGTTGGTTTTTAATGACGGTCCTCTACCCTTCTAGGTATTAATCAATCCATGTGCCTATATTGAAATAGATTTCTAAACCAATTGCGATCAACATCATTGAGGAAAAAATTGCTCGGGGCGAGTATACGAAAATGGAGCTGTTTGAGAAGGATATGAACCAAATGTTTGACAACGCAAAGATCTATAACGCAGAGGGCTCAGAGGTTTATTCGGATGCAGAAACATTGCAGGTGAGCTAACAGTTTCTTTTTTCCTTTCAATATATCGATATATGTAATAGCATGATAGTATCTCTTATTTCTGCTAACTCTCTACATGAATTTTTTTTTTTTATTTTTTTTTTATTATTATTATTTTATTTTATTTTATTTTTCTAGCATTTATTTTGGAAAACTATCGGTAAAAACGGTCGTGGGCGTCATATGAAGGGAAAGGTGCAACGGAAGCACAACACATTGCTACCAGAGATTGTTCATCAAGGCGAGACTTATAGAGTTGGTATGCATTGTTTATTTCAGGCTTGCTTGGACGATATATAGATTAATGATCGTTTCAATTATTGTTTCTAACTTTTTTTCTTTTTCTTTTTCTTTTTCTGTAGGTGATTTTGTACATATCCAAAACGATGTTGAACCATCCAAACCAACTATCGGGATTATTTTTAGTATTTGGCAAGATGATAAGTATGATATGATTTATGACAACTTGACTGATATTAAGCCCTGTAACAAGTTTACTTTTTATTCATCATATCATTATTTTTTTTTTAAAAAAAAAAAAAAAAAAAAAAACCAACGTTCATTGTATTTCCTTATTATAGAGGCATCAACGGGATAGACGCAGCTTGGTTCTTAAGGCCAGAACATATTGTACATCCTTATGCGAGTCGCTTCTATCCGTCAGAGGTGGTGAAATCATCGGGAACTCATGAGCATTTGGTCAGTGACATTTTAGGACGGTGCTATGTTCTTCAGACAAAGGATTATATTCGTGGACGTCCTGTCGGTTGGAAAGAAGGCCAGTATATCTATGTTTGTGAACAACGGTACAATGAATCATACAAATCAGTCTCAAAGATAAAAAATTGGGCGAACTGTCTTCCACCCGGTCATAAACCTGGAGATATCGAACTGAAGCTTTATCCACAACCATTGGTTATAAAAAAGCTTCCTGGGGCTGCCAGGATGAATAAAACTTCCAAGAGAGGTACAAGTGAGCCAGTTTCGCGAGCTAGCTCCCCTCGGGATTATTCATCCGCATACGCAACATCCAGAGAAGCCACACAGACCCCAGAACCTGAACTTGAGCCTGAGTCTGAACCTGAACCGGAGCCTAAACCCAAACCCAAACCCAAACCCAAACTCAACCTCAATCCCAACCCCAACCCCGAGCCTGAAGCAGAACTGGAGCCAAAGCCAGAGCCTAAACCAGAACCAAAGGTGACAAAGACATCAAAGGCTATGAAACGCAAGTCAGCTCAGATGCTTGGAGAATCATCACCATCAATGGCCCCTCTAGAAAAGAAAGATACTACACCAGTCCGTTCACAACCACGGCTCTCCTCCCCACCACAACATCGATACCGCTGCAACTACTCTAATCTGTCCACTAAACTCCAGTGTGCAGCGTAAGTGGAAGGCTCTATGATAATATGATAGTATGATAGTGTTATTGGTCTACATGTTTATAAAGTTCAATGTCTTCTTACATCATATCTGGATCGTATTTGTAGAACATTCACGAGTGAAGCAGACCTTCAACAACATGTCACGGATGAACATGTGAGCACATTGTCAAATATCAATCCTGCCCCATCACTCAAGAGAGGAAGGCCCAGAAAGTCTCCATCTGATGCTGATCCGAATGCTGCGCCATCTCCTGTGCCGATGTTGGTAACAGAACCCTACCAAGCAGTGTCTACAACGATTGATCAATCTACTTATCAGCAACCTGGGTATAGTAATTATGGAGCAACAGGGCAATACCCAGCCACTACCCCATCTCGACCAACAACCCCAAGCGATGTCCTTGCTGGTCAAAACATGTATTCAAGCGCAGTATATCCAACATCATCACAACAACAACCACAACAACCACAACAACCACAACAACCACAGCAACAACCACAACATCAGTCAATGCAGTACATGCATCAGCAGCACCAACGTGGAATGTCATATTCTCAGCAAGCATATGATCAATCAATTCCATCAGGATATTCCAGGTCGCAAGGTTATGCACAAACTGTGCCTCATAGTCAAGGCTACGCATATGGACAACCTTACCCTATGCAGCAGCAGCAGCAACAACAGCATTCTCCTAATCAACCATACGCCTTCAATCAGACGCAGTACTACCAGCAGAGCTATGCATCCCAAGGATATCCTTCCCAGCAACAGAATGCATACTCTTACGCTTATTCACAACCCTATAGTGCGTCGCCTCATGGCTATCCACAGCATCAAAACTACGGTCCGGAACAACAAAACCGCCATCTATCATCCTCCGTGCCATCTGACCATCAACAACAGCTTGTTCAGCAGCAACGTCTTGTTCAACAACAACAGCTTGTGCAGCAGCAGTATTTGGCTCAACAGCAACAGCTTGTACAACAGCAGAAGCATATACAGCATTCACATCAGCACTCACCTTCACACCCTGGATACCATCAACGAGGTATCTCTCAATCCTATCCGGTGCAACCACAGCAACAACAACAGCCCTATCCATCCCAGTCACCTGTCTCTATTATTGCATCTCAGCCATATGCAAGTGTGAATCCACCATATCAACAACAGGCCTATCTTCCACCAACGTCAGTGGCATACAATAGTGGACATGGGGCATCCTTGTCGAACGCATCATCGCATGGATCGGCCTCTACACTGACCAATGCTATGGAGGGTATTGGTCTTGGTCTTTCGGGTGTGACAAATGCAGATCATGGAAGGGTTAGAACATCAATGGTGGCAGCAGATGGTACTGCTACGACGTCCACCTTTAATTCACCAACCATGTAGTGTAGTACAGCATTAAAAAAGATGTTTTAATTCCAAAAAATAAAAATAAAAAATAAAAAAAAAATAAAAAAAAAAAAAAAAAAGAGAGAGCAGGCTGGCTTGATATTTCTATTCTTAATGAATGCTGTGCTGTATGTACATGTACAATGTCAAAGCCCCATGGTTCAAAGCTGTGTCATTCTTTTAATATCGAATGTCTAAAAAAAAAAAAAAAAAAAAAAAAAAAAAAAAGACTAGTGTAACAGTCATTACCAAAGATGATGTTGAATGTTTTTGCGTAAAGAGCGTCAATTGAAGTCATTGGAACAGCCACAGCCACAGCCAAGAGTCATCACATTGGGAGTAAGCTTTCCCGAATCCCAGTGTATGAGCACAGAAGTAGAGAGAAAAAGCCCATGTAACTGAAATGGATAGATCCAATTACGAAGCATGGCACAAGTGTGTTGGCGTCATTGTTGGATGATGAGACAGTTTTTACACTCCTGCGAACGTTTACGTTAACGGATGATGCGAAATAGCCTTTTTAGACCATTCACTCTAGTACATGTACTTGGACTAGCTCAATACGGCTGTATTTTTTTTTTTTTTTGCCGTTGTAAATATCATCCTCTCCTATGAAATAAATTTTTTATATAATATCCATTCATTTAGGTTGGATTATGACTTTAAATTTTATTTTATTTTTTTACTTTCGTCATTTATTCACGATGACACCTCCGTATCTAATGCAGATGTGTCTCCCTGATGACCAAATGCTTGTCAAACAAATGATGATTATAAGAGACTTTGCTACTCCTTGGTGACAACATCTCTTTTTCAGACTATGGAAACGATATAATGATCAGAAAGCGAAGATAGTAGAGAACTAGGCATAGTATAGTAAAGTAACGTGCTGGAATGCTAGGATTAACTTTGCGCCGCTGTAGTTTATAATAAAACGCAAGCCCCTTCTCTTACCCTCTTTTTTTGCCCTGCCACTCCGCCGGCTGCTGCTCTTGTAACACCCAAGATGCGGAATTCTTTTTTACCAGAGAAAGTCAGGAAAAGTACATTAGGAGAGCATTCGTGTCTGGCTAGGCCTTGTTTGAATAACCATAAAAGGCACTTTTATCCTGCAGAGAAAAAGGCCAAAGCGAGTAATGCATTCAACAAAAATGCGAACGAGTGTTACAAATTAAAAATTAAGAAAAGTGATGAGAATATCGAGTCAAGGAAGATGGATCAAAAAATATGCGAATATGCATGAGGCATCAATGACAAACAAATAAACAAAAACCAAAAACGACGATGAATTAAGAGACCATTATTGAAAGGGATCGTCAATTTAAAAAGAAAAAACGTATTCGTTCTAGATATATCTGTCTCTATAAACTAAAACTCACACGAGCATAATAGAGCATCATTACATCTTCATGAATCTGTCCATAAAAGACCAGCCCTTTTTCACAATCACCATAAAACCTGAATAAACCAACTCTTTTTAACCTTTCTTTCTTCGGCTCTCTCTCTCTTTTTAAGCTTTTTGCCACCATCTTGCTATTGTCACACCAACCCGTCCTTTCTTCCGCATTCCATTACATCTCTTTCTTTCATCTCTCTCTATCTTTCCAACTCTCTCTCTCTCTTTCTAACTTTCTCTCTCTCTTTCTATATATCTATATATCTCTTCCCCCCCTCTTTCTTTCCTTTCTTTCTCTCTTTCTCTCTTTGTCTGCCACTCTTGTGTTTTTCTCTCATTAATATTGCCATCCATTACCTTTCTCTCCCTTTGCCATTACACATACATCTTTTTTTTTTTTTTTTTTTTTTTCTTTTTTTACATTACTATTATCATTACCAGTAGCTTCACACTATGCCATTTACATTTAGTCGTACAGAACACGCAAGACAATTGCGTGTTAAAGACCCCACACTCTGGACTCTGTTCACCATTCGCAAAATCATCTGCTTCAGTGCCATTCTATGCCTTATCCTCCAAGCCATTGGTATATTGTTGTCCGCGATGCTTGGCACAATCGCCCTTGTCACGCCCTCATTACTCTTCCTTGATCTCTGCATCATCATGGGCATGGTCGGCACCCTCTATCCTGACACGGAATTCTGGTGCCGAAGAAATAGGATCTTGGCATCGTTTACAATGACAACAGCACTCACTGCTTTCTCATATGTGTCTACTTCAGCAATCCTAAAGGACGTATATCTTCTCTCCAAAGGTGAAAAGTACCTCAGCCTCGTGGTCTGTGGGATCCATTATATGATGTGCGTCCTCTTGGCCATTGAAGGCTTTCTAACAATTCAAAAGAGGGAGGATGAAATCGAGTCTGCGCACCTCGAGCTATTGGAGCTGGGCCATGGTCAACCTCGCTGTCATCCATCGACTCAACCTACCGAGCCATCCCGGGCCTTTATCTATCAGCCAAACATCCCTCAAAGAGGTCAATTGGGAGGTCAAGGCCAAGAAGAGATTGCAAATCAGCAAGAAAAGGAGGTTCTCCCAACATATACACGCCATCAGCCTTCTGATCAGCCAAAGTTCTGTATCATTGACATGTCGAACCAGCTGCAACAACAGCAGCAACAACAAGAGCCACATTCATTACCCGCATATGAAGAATCCAGGACAGGAAGAGCTTTAGGATCAACACCTACACAACCTACACAATCTACACAATCTACACAACCTGTACCAGTAGCACAGTCGACATTTGAAGATGTACCACTACGCATGTAACTTTTAGTTTCATATCACATAAAACAGATAGCCCGTCATTCTTGTACAATATATATTTATTTAAACATCGCAATCGGTCTTTTACACCCTTTTGTACTTTTACATGTGCCCTCGCTTACATTCCGCTGATATATGACTATAGGTATTCCCGGTAACATACGAGAGGCGGTGCTCTGGTTAATAAAATGGTGGAGAAGAATAAAAGTGGATTTGCATTAGGTTGCACAGCAGCATCAGGTTTTGGGAGCAAACAAAAAAGGTTCATTTCTCATGCTCATGTCAGAGCATGTACATGTAGATAATCGTCATCTGAGGACTCAACGACAGTTCGCCCTCGTCTCCATTTTTTTTCTTTTCTTTTTTTTTTTTTTTTTTTTTTTTCTTCTTTTTTTTCTTACTTTTGAACATGTACATGTACTTTTTGTTTTTTTTCCCCCCTTCCATCGTACCCAGTTCCACCCCCTGTCTTTCCGTTACCTTAGTATTATGCAAATACTCGACGCTCAATCATAGGACTAAAAAGGACCGTTCCCAAACCACACAACCTCCTCTTCCTCCTGACAATGGAGTATCAACATAATACGCCCCTATTCCCATTGCCTGTGTGGACTCTCCAGATCCCCATGGCCTCCATCCTTGTTGTTGATTTTTTTCTTCAGATTGCTTCAGGGAGTTTGATATCAGATTCTCCAGAAGGTGATGGCGATCAGGACGACTTCAAAGACATTGATTCGAATCCAAGGACTATATTTTCGATTGTTCAAATCATCGCCATCGTTGCCACTATATGCCTCTATAGTCTTTTCATATATCCTAATACATTCAGAGATGGTTATTGTTGTATTTGCACTTGTCTTCAAAAGAGAAAAGATGATGTCCCCTCGTCTCTTTTCCCTCCTATCCTCTCTTCATCTGCGACCATAACCAGTACTCCTACCCCAGAGCAGGAGATAGGGGCAAGGGCAAAGTATAAGAGGCGCGAGAATCAGCGAATATGGATAACGTTGATGTTGGCCTCCGTCTACCTTTTTTTCGTGGTTCAAACAGCTTACGATATCTGGCGCTTTGAAGGAACAGATGGAGTGATTGGATGGGTGACCCTTTTTTTGAACCTAGTCATGGTGATGCTACTGGCCTTTGACTGTCGTTTGCAATGTCAAAACCAACAGAGGTATGATTTACAATGGCAACAACAACAACAGCAACAGCAGCAGCAACATCGGATACAGATGGACCAAGGAGACTTGCAGAATCATTACCGACATGGATATCAGCTACAGCACCGGCATCCGCATTATCCGTTGACAGAATTATGTGCCTCTGTTGGAGGTGATGCATCTCGTGCAGACACAACGATAGGAGATTTACCAAGATATGAACCTACAATCAACTCTAACAATGACGAGCGCAACAATGGAAGCGGTAGTGATAATAGTAGAAGTGGTAGAGGCAGCAACGGGGAGCATTAACGGCATCAATGACATTAATGGTGAAGACTTTAGTAACAATAGCCAGACAGAAGGACAAGCATGTTCACATCAACCTCTTGCTCTGCCATGCTATACTCCAGAATAAAATAAGAGTATAAATACCTTATCACTAATAAACTCGTCTTGTATAATGGTTGTTGCATGATTGCATGATCGCATGAAGAGCAGAAACAGAACAAAAGGAACAAAGAAAAGGAGAAGTATAAGAATACAAACAAAAGGCTGTTGTTTGTTAGTCCATCTTTCAACCACACCGACAACATTGCATACACACATAAAAAGAAGGTGCTCCTTTTGAGTACATGTATATACATGTAAGTTGGTTGTTTGTAAAAAAAAAAACTCAGGAACAGAATCGTTGTACAAAACAGTCAACAGACATTGCGCATATCAGAACAGACTTGTTTATATTTCCTAAGCGCGAAGTTTGCGTGTGTGCGCAAGGGCAGAGGAGCAACCTTTTTGCGACAAAAGAAAGTTCTGGTGGATTAGTGTAGTTGATCGACGCAAGGTGACGCGTGGAAGTTGCTGTCTGTCTTTATTGACATGTCAACATGTCAAATGCAATGAATGCCTCATGGTTTTAAAGGCCCTTTGTCTTATTCAGCAAGTGAAACATTTTTTTTTTTATTTTTTTATTTTTTTATTTTTTTAATTGTCCATTACTATGTTGTAGTTACACATCTTTCATTCTTACCTTCACTTCTTTCATTGAACTTGTCTTCTTTCCTTGAACTTGTCATTCACTCAATCATTTCACTTTTTTCTCTTCCTCAGCACAGAAACACACATTTAAATATATATTTTCTCACAAGCTTGGCTTTGTGATATGCCCTTTCGAATCTCGCTTCCATCCCGCAACAGCGAACGCTCTGCACCACAGCAGCGTGTGAACAACCCTTCCACAGAAGGCTCCAGAGGATGGGCAAGGCTCTATCCATACCTCCGTGCACTTCGTCTCATCATTGGTGTCCTTGCCTTGACCAACTTCTTACTCCTCGCCATTGCCCTTCGCTTTACAGACAATAATAACGACAGCGAAGACATATCTTCGACGGATTTCCAACAAATTGTCATCAACGGCGGACTCTTTATCGCTTGTCTCTATTCTTCTTTTGGAAAAGCATCCTTGTCATCCAACTACAGGTTGGTAATGATTTTCATTGTCATTGCCATGTCCCTTATCTACACTATATCACTACTGGTCAGGATTCAGAGACGAGGAGGTTGTGGCTCCAAGTATTATTCAGAAGTCGTCACTCGTTGCATCACACAGTACATCATTTCAGGGATCGAGCTCTTGTGGACAGTGCTGTTGTTTTGTGATGGTATCATCTCCTATCATCAATCAGGAGACTCGGATTGGCAACTCAGACAGCGCATGCAAGAAGAGGAGCGCACGTTGGCATCTGCGGTACGTTACCAGCCAGACTTGTCTCTCTATGGAAATGGCAACAACGACAGCAATAATAATAATAATAATAATAATGTGATCAATAACCGGGACATTGAAAATGCAGGTCCTAGCGCAGTGGAAATGGAACCATTGCCTGCATACAATCCCAGGCCCACAAAAGACCAACCTCGCATTATCGACATGTCCAACATGTCTGTTTTAGAGGAAGCACCAGATTATTATGCTCCTGGAGCGACGACAATCCCACCGCCTGTTGATTTGTTTGCTCCTGATCTTGGATTTGGATCCACATCTGCTTCTACTTCTACTTTTACTACTTCTCCTTCATCTGCTATCGCAGGACCTTCAGCACAGCCCAGGTCAACGATATCAGGTTCAGCCGAGACAACGGCAACAATGCCAGTGTCCATAACTACAATCCCAATCCCAATGACAACAACAGAACCAGAACTACACCCAGCGCCAGGGTCAGAGAGAGAGTCAGAAAGAGAGTCCGAGAGAGAGAGAGAAACAACAGTTACAACGTCAATATCCACAGAACCTGTAGTATCATCTGTCAATCTTTCTTCACATGTGCCTTAATTTATAAATGTATTATGTATTGTATATCCTTATTATTGTTTGTCTAGCCATTCAAACGTCCATGCCCATGTACATGTACATGTACATACACAAAGCATCGTCTTTTTTTTTTTTTTTTTTTTTTTTTTTTTGAAAGAAATCCAGAGCTTGGCAAAAGAGAGGGCTATTGTTGACGCAGGCTTTGGGACATGATAATGCTCAGCCTTGATTGTCAGATAAAGAAAAAAAAAAAAAAAAAAAAAAACAAGGCTAAACAGTAAATTCGCAGTTGACGGGGCTTTCTCGTAACAGGGTTGGAAGGTTCTGGTGTGGCAATGTCTTCCTAGAATACAGGCATATACAAGGAAGATTAGCTTGCTAAAAACCCAAGGGGATTGATATAATTCATACCGACCTGACCTGATACTTGTAAAATGACTCTACGCTTCATTCACCGTTTTTCGCTCATCAATCTTTACTACGGATATATTTTCTACCACTTTTCTAACATGCAAAGTTCAACCTTCATCCTCATTCTTAAATTTTGCTGGCCATACTCTTCTGAAAAGTGCCAAAAAAAAAAAAAAAAAAAAAAAAGGTGGCACTTGCCCATGTTCCGATATAGTTATTCATATCCATTGAAAAGTAGTAATAGTTCATCCAAGTGGATTGAGGAAGATAGACAATGCCGTGGTAATGACATAGATTTGGAATCCGCTAGAGTACGCTGCTCGGAAGAAAAAAAAAAAAAAAAAAAAAAACCAAGGGCAACCTGGATCTCTTCTTTTCCAATATCGTCCGCTTGGGTGCTACAGAAGGGAGATGGGGCATTGGGCGTCATTAGGGTGGTGTGGTGGATTGTCAATCCTCTGTTATCGTTTGGGCGAAGACGCCAGTTGCAACAAATAATCCAAGCCTGGCGTGGCTTTTTTTTGCCGCCGTTCAACCTTGTTGGCCACAAACCCAAATAAAGCATTTTTTTTTTTTTTTTTTTTTGTTGTTGTTGGTCGCGCGAACTGGAGTTGGGTCCACGTCTTCTTTCTCAATCCATTCAGCTCTCTTTCCCTTCGATTTCGTTCCTTGTCATTCCTCAATCCTTCAAACTAGAGATGGACCAGGCAGTCTTCCAGGCATTGACAGACACTTTGTCTGCAGACACTAACACCCGACTGGCTGCTGAGTTACGACTCAAGGAGTTGCAGGTCAATCCAGGTACAACAATGACATCAAAAAAAAAAAAAAAAAAAAAAAAAGGTCATGGATGGAAAACACAACGCACGCTCATGCCATTAAAATCAACATTATCCATTGCGACAACTGAGACGGCAACGAAACAAGGAATAGCAACGACTTTTTTTTTTTTTTTTTTTTTTTTTTTTTAAACCTTGGAGTTCAGTTCACTGACTTTCCAACTGATCAACTTGTTCAACGGCGATAATAGAGTTCCCCATTAGTCTTGTTCGTCTTGCGTTGGCACAGGAATGCAACATTTCGCAGCGCCATTCAGCTGCTGTGTTACTCAAGAGCTATGTTGATACACAGTGGTCTGAGAAGAGTGCCAAGTTTCATGGTCCTGAACCACCAGCTGAGGTACTCCCGCCCTCTTTTTTTTTTTTTTTTTTTTTTTTTTTGATGTGTGGTGGCAACGGCTCTTGGAGATATTGATACAAACTACCTGATTTGATAAACAATAGACCAAGGCCTCGGTTCGTGACCTAGTCCTCAATGGTCTCTCTGATCCTACCAACCGTATCCGAGCTTCTTGTGTGAGTTTTTGTTTTTATTTTAAAGTGATAATTATATAACTCGCATTGGGAAATGAAACTAACATCTTTCTTCCTTAAATCTGCAATACAAATGTTGAATGAAAATATGTTATGTTCTTTAAGGCTTACGTAGTTTCCAAGATTGCACACCATGACTGGCCAGAGCAGTGGACCAATCTCCTGGATGTTCTAGTCCATCATCTCAAGAATGGCTCTGCGAATGAGGTGCACGGATCTATGAGGGTCTTGACTGGTAGGCACATAATGCAACATGTTGTGAATTTTAATCTTGACGGTGTATATGGCACTCCTAAGAAAAGAGTAAGAAAAAAAAAATCGCTTGGCCCCCTAACGATTTTCTTTATTATAATTCTTTTTAAAACAGAATTTGTAAACAAGGATGTTACGCATGTTCAGCTGCCCTTGGTTGCGCCTGTTCTGTTCCCAGAACTTTTGCGTATTTTGGTTTCAGACCAGCTATACTCACATGCGACACGATCTCGTTGCGCTTCAATTTTCCGTAATGCAGTTGAGATGTTGTACACGATCAAAGAGGAGCACCCTGAAGCTGTCAAGGTTTATCTTACTCCATTCATTGGGCAGTGGAACGAGGCTTTCATTGCCATCTTGAATACGCGCACAGCCGATGTTCCTGAAATTGAGGTTGGCGAATGGGGGTTAAAGACCGAGATTCTGAAGGTAATATTTCCATTATAAACTTAGAAATCAAAAGTACTGTATCGATTGATGAAAAGAAAAGGCGGAAGATCCTAATTTTTTTTTTTTTAAAAAAAAAAAAAAGTGCATCAACTTGTCTATTCAAGGATTCCCCAAGTTAATGGCACCTTATTTGCTCCAGGTTCTCTCGGCTGTTTGGCAGGATGTACTCCATTTGAGGTCAAGATATATATCTGAATACGTCAACACTGGGGAAGGTGTTGGAGAATCATTCCAGGACTCCGATGGAGAAACCATTGGATTTGAATCACTCTTGTTTGTTCAGTTCGAGTTTATTCAGATGGCTTGCAGACGTCGTAAGGTGACCCAGGTTGCATTCATTGGCGAGGATGGAAAATCAGGCATCTTGCCTGAACTGGTGTGGAACACGCTGAATTATATGCAGATGACCGATGATCAGGTGGAATCTTGGACTTCGGATCCGAATCAATTTATTGCGGATGAAGAAGACGACAGCTATTCTTTTAATGTGCGTATCGCTGCAGAAGATCTTCTCATGACTCTAATTGATAATTTTGAAGCCCAGACGTTGGATGCTTTGAACCTGAGCGTCAAGCAAGAAGCCAGCAGATCTGCCAATGAGAAAGCGGCCGGAAATATCAACTGGTGGAAAGCACAGGAGTCTAGTCTTTTGGCTGTAGGATTATTTGCGGGTGATTTGAGTGAGACCATCAAATCGGGCGCCCAGGCCCCCATTGATATCGGTGGACTATTTGAGCATATTGTGCTTGGCAATCTCTCAGAGCATGACTTTCCCTTCTTGCAAGGGCGCTCATTTGTTTTTGCTTCTCAGTTTGCGTCAATTTTGCCCGCTAACTATGCATCTCAATATGTTTCGGCTGCTGTGGAGGCTATTATGAAATCTCCTTCAGCTGTCGTGAAGGTTTCGGCCCTGAGAGCACTCAACAACTTTAACCAGTACTTGGATAAGCAGTACATCATCCCATATCAGAGGTCTATTATTCAGGGTGTTGCTCCTATGATGGAGATTACCACTGAGGATACTTTTAGCTTGATCATCCGCACTTTGATATCTACATCCAAGGTATGTTGAATGGGGGATACCAATAGTCTGTGCACTTTTTGTTACCTTTCTAATTCCGTCCACTGAGTTAATCGTATCACGTATTTTTATAGATCAATGAGCAAGCAGCGGCTGAGTTCGAGTCAACTTTGGGTCCTCTTGTCTTGGATTCTTGGGTTAAATACCCAGCTGATCATTTGATCTCTATGGATATCATGGATCTTTTTGAGACATTGGCGGCCAACCAGTACATGCATCCCGCTCTTAATGCCAGAGCACTTCCGGTTCTGACCAACATGATTTCAACAGAGAACCCCGATAAAGCTAGAGTCTCCTCTACTGTAGACCTGCTGAAGGCCCTTGTGAGCGGCGCTTCTACACCCTTGCCTCCCAAGTATGTTGCTCAGTTTTTCCACAATTTGATGAGCGTACTCTTGACGACTGACGATAGGGACGTGTTGCAAAGCGGGCAGGAGTGTTTGACGATTGTCATCCAGAAGGATGTTCAGCAGATTGCCGGATGGCGCGATGAAGTCAGTGGCAAGACAGGGCTCGATCTCATTATTCAATTTATAGCTAAGCTTCTAGATCCTTCTCAGACAGAATCTGCAGCTCTGTTTGTGGGTGATTTGATTTCGAAGCTGATCAAGAAGGGCGGTGACCTTGTCTCTCCTATCCTTCCCGAGCTCTTGAATGCGGTGACACTTCGTCTTGCAGACGCAAAACTCCCTACTTTTATTCAGCCTCTAGTGATGGTGTTTGCACAGCTCTCTTTGAACCAGCATGACGTGGTGATCAACTTCTTAAGTGGTCTCAATATCAATGGTCGTAACGGCCTAGATATCGTCATGGCTTCATGGCTCGGTAACCATGCTGATTTTACAGGTCTTTACAACCAAAAGGTCAGTACAGTTGCATTGACTAAGATCTTTATGTCGGGCGATCCAAGGATAGCAACTGTTCAGGTCAATGGTGATTTGATCGTACCCACTTCGACACGTATCGTGACGCGTTCTCGCGCCAAGACTGCCCCTGATCAGTTCACGGTTACAACAGTTCCTGTAAAGATCATTCGCCTCCTAGCAACGGATTTGATCAATAAGGTTGAAGAAGAAGAAGATCAGGCTGCCGAGTCAGATTATGATGATGACGATGGCGATGATGACTGGGAAGACGAGGACAACGGACGTAAGGACAAGTTTTCATTCCTTTCCGACGTCTTGGACTCACATGGGATTGATATGGATGGTGATGAGGAGGAGGATGAGGCTGATCCTGATGTTTTGGCTGACCCTGTTTATCAACTCAATATGAAGGTAAAAGCATCGAAAAAAAAAAAAAAAAAAAAAAAAAAAGTTGAAAGCTTTATTCCATCTAATTTATTTATTTATTTTTTTTGTAGAATTACTTAATTGACTTCTTCCGTCAGTGCGTTCAACAGAACTCACCCGCGTTCGTCCAGAGTGTTGGCGAATTAAACGACGTTGAGAAGCGCACATTGTCTTCACTATTGGAGAATTAATCAAGTTACAAAGAGGAAGAAAAAAAAAAGGCACATCAAGCAAGATGATTCGAGAAATAAAGGGGTTATCGTCCAATACCCTTGATATATCAAATCATACATCAAATCATGTCACTCTTAGACAGACCGAGTTGTATACGTTCGTTATCTTTATTTTTTAATAACAAAAAAGTTCTAACAGTTTTGCTTTTATTTTATATTGCAACCGACCATACTTGTACGTTGAACGGCATTTACTAAAAATAAAAAAAATAAAAATAAAAATAAAAAAAAAGTACATGTTATTATTCATCCAGATGCTTAAGGAAATCATCGTCTAAAACAATCCATTGAGTGAAGCAATACGGGATTTGGTTTACTTACAACTTTCGTTTCCGTAAGACCCTCCTTGAAGACGGTGAAATATGGAGTAATACCATCCTCGCGGTAGTTAAGCAACAAGACAGCGCCATCGGGGTTCATGGACTCGCCGATGTAGAACTAGAAAGAATGAAAATTGGAAGAACGTCAGCAAAAGAGATACAAACACCCAAAGTGCACGAATCAAAACAATATGCTATTTTGCATACGTAAAAATTGAAATAGTAACAATAAAAGTACCTCGTAGTCCTTGAAGTTGCCAAGAATCTTCTTAACGTCAGCAGTGACAGCAGCCTCGAACTTCTTGCCCTCCTCCTCGGTGAAGCTGCGCTTGGCCTTGACGGCCTTCAAGTAACCCTTCAAGTATGTAGTGTAGGCCTTCTTGTCGAAGGATGTTTGCTGAAGACGACCAGAGTACACGACGTTGTTGACTTGCTCTTCACCATCCTCCAGTGGCTCGTCCTCACCACCTCCCTCAGCAGAAGCATTGGCACCGATATCGACATCAGCACCCTTCTTGATCTTGATCATAGCGCAGTCAATCTCGTAGACCGAGCCAACCTCTTTAATTGGGAAAGCATCAGAGAAAAGCTCGTCGCTAATATGATAAATGATGCGGACGTTAGAAAGTAGAAATAGAGAGAAGAAAGAAAAAAAAATTCAAAAGTTGGACTGAGATTCTTTTCAACTTACTCGCTGATGAGATCCTTGTAGATGATCCTGATTTTTTGTTGATTCAGTAAAGAGAATGGATAGACGTTTTAAAATAAGAGGTAAATAAAGAGAGCTTTGAGGGATGGATCTCACACGGGTTCTTGAATATTTTATAATGCAGGGTATTTTCTTCATCTGCTTTCTGTAGTTGTTTCTTTTGCAATAGGATATTGCGCTGAATATTACAACCCAGGTTTTATATTTTGCCTTGATTCCAGTCGAATCACTTACATGATGGTAATGCTAAGATGATAATAGGATGATGGAAGAAGAGAAGAAACAGAACCCCACAGGAGACACCATTGAAAAAAACTTTTTACTCTCTGTGGGCGCTTTGTCCTTTGACCCAAACATCATAAAAAAATTAAGCCACCCAAATGATGCATAATTTACACCCCCCATTCACGTGCAGCATCCTTTGGCTCAATTGTCTGCAAAATATACACGAAATACACGCTAGTATTCTTCGTATTCTTCATGATAAATTTTATTATCATATCTCCGATCGCTTCTCTGACGCGTTCAGAGAGGGAAGGCTTCATAAGGCAGTAATTGTCTCTCGGAAAACATGAGAAGCACTATTGCTGTTGAAGTCCTGTTAATGAAGATGGGCTTTGGTGAAGTATTAAAGTTGGTTCGCATGTGGAGTGTGTTTGTAAGATTTGTACCACTCAAAAAAGCCAAGAATAACAATAAAAAAAAAAAAAAGACATCGGCGTCCACTAAGAAGAGTAACTTGAAAAGGAACATGTATCATCTGGGTTCTCTTATGCGCCACTACCTTAATATAAATATTACAGACACTCTTTTTTCTTTCTTCCTTTCTCATACAGATCCTTTAATATCTTGCCCCTTTCCCATTCGCATCCAATGCTTGGTATCCTCTTTCACTTACTACGCCTCTGGTACCTAATCCTTTTTCTTGCCACCGTCTGTCTTATCACCGACATCACCCTCTCCAGCACTCGAGATTTCAGGGACAATGCTGTCATTTCTTCTTTTCCAATACCCCTTCTAGCGGACGTGTGCACAGTCCTAATCTTTGCCTATGGTCTTTGGGGGAAGCCTCAGCCGTTTCTCTTGCCAACATCGTCTCCAACATCCAATAAATGCACGCGTTTCACTCGGCATGTTGGTACGACTCTATTGATCGGTTTATGGATCATGAACACAACCATCTATGCTTCTGCAAAGATTATGCTCAGGAAAGTCATGGCAGGTGTATCGACCTTGATTGCAATTCTTGTCTTTGTCGAGATGATTGGCAGTATACGTATCGGAAGGGAGCAGCGAAGGATCCTGAAACAAGAAAAAAGGTGTCTCGAAAGTGCAAAGATACAAGAGAACAACAATAGCAATGATAGTAACACGACAGTAGACGGGAATGGCCAAGACCATTCTTCTGGAATCATATCTGCAAGAGGAGGAGAAAGCTGCGAACGACTGATTGAGAAAGATAGTGAGGGTGGCGTTATGGTGGAGATTATCAGGCCGGAGGAGGTAGATCCAGCCATGGTCATTTACGACCAACGAATTATGCATGAACTTTGTCAACAACAGCAGCAGTATCGCCAGCAATATCAGCATTATTTGGAATGGATGACGGTCTCGGCTCTAACTTCAATAGTAAATACGATGATTTATTGCAGCAGTCCTCCTTCAAACTTGAGATTCCAATGAATGAACCTTTTGAGAGATCAACATCGCCGTCATCATCGTCATCACCTCCATCACCGTCGCACTTAATGGCGTCTATAGTAACAATACCACCAGTAGCGGCATTGCTAGCACCAATGACAGGATCGTCAGCTAAAATGAAGCAGCTTTTCAGACCAACAGCGCCACCAGCGACAGCATCCTGTGAATTATTAATAACCCCAGATTACAATACTACAGGAGACTATCATACTCTAGAGAAGGCAGCGCTTTCAATAGAGCGGTAGAAACAACAATAACAGGAAGTGTTGATTAAGAGCGATAACACATCAGGGCCTACAATGGATATTCTAGAAAAGACGAATTCATTCTCGGGCAAACGATAAGGAGCAAAGCTTATGAATGGGGGGTTCTTTTTCTCCATTGTTGATGTAGTTTCTCGCACCGAGCCATTTAGAGATTCAGGTGGAAGCAACAAAAATTAGGCGTGTCTATCAATAGTGTGTGTAACTTGGTCACAAAATACGCGGCGACAGCCCATGCCTAATTGTAAATATAGTAAAAAATGTATACAAATGTCAACAAATATACCACAATAAAAATAATAATTATCAACAAGTGGTCCGAACCGCTCCTTTTGTTCCTTACAATGTCCTTATCATTAAATGGCTTTATTTTCATGCAAAGCTTTCTGTAACAAGAGCCTCAAGTTTTTAGTGTTCATGATGTAATTAGCAGTCGTTCTCGATTAATAGTACTTCCTAGACTGAGAACAAGCGACGTGGGGAAAAAGGACCATACCCCCCAGCTCTGGTTTATATCCATGGTCTACAATCAGACACTCTTTTTATGATTTTGCTATTGTGTAGGGTTGTATGCAAGCTGTTGGAAAGCCATGATGTGCATACAACTATTAGGGTTGTCCAGGAACGGCTTGATACTCGTGATCTGTCGTGCACGGATCCCGGCATGAGTCGCGCCAGTATATGTGCCTGTATTTCCCAGCATTGACCTTTTCTGGATAGTCGGGCTGTGCCATGTCAAGGAAATAACGTTTTCAGTTTTTTTTTGTCTCGAGAATTTTCTAGTGGCTTAGTGACGCGTTAGTGGACTGACAACCCTGCCAGTCGAACATGATGGAAGCACAGCGAACAAGATACATACAGCCAGAGAAATAGGCAGAAGCAAGCTGGGGCGCCAGAGAAAAGACATTGTTGATATATTGACCTCCAACTTCTTCCTTTCCACACTTTCTTTTACCTTCGAGCACTACACTCAAACTCACTCTCACACACAACATATACTTTTCTCTCTCTCTTTAAACGCATTCACACCATGAGCGTAAGTACTATTTTCATGATGCAACCTGAACTGATCAGCCTTGAATTCCACAACCCTAAAAAATCCATGACATTTTTTTTCCCTACATCTTACCTTATGTAGGCTGAAGAATACAAAGCTCAGGGAAACAAAGCCTTTCTTGCCAAGGACTATCCTGTTGCTATTGACTTGTTTTCAAAGGCTATTGAACTCGATCCCACCAATCATGTCCTCTACTCTAATCGCTCCGCTTGCTATGCCTCTCTGAAGAACTATGAGAAGGCACTCGAGGATGGCAACAAGACTGTTGAGCTCAAGGCTGATTGGAGCAAGGGATATGGTCGTAAGGCCGCTGCTCTCTTTGGCCTTGGTCGTTATCCTGAAGCTAACGATGTTTACCAAGAAGGATTGAAGATTGAGCCTACTAATCCACAACTTCAGAAGGGCCTTCAAGAGACCCAGCAGGCTATGGAGAAGGGTATGTTTTGGACTATCTCTTTCAACATTAAAAATCAATCAGGATGTGCCTGTAGATACCAACATGGCTATTTTCCATGGATAAATCAGTAACTAACAGCTTTTTTTTTTTTTCTTCTTCTTGACAATTGTAGAGGCTTCTATGGGAATCGGTCAGTTCTTTGGACCCGATGTTTTTACAAAGATGGCTGCTAACCCTAAATTGGCCCCACTTTTGTCCCAACCTGACCTTATGGAAAAAGTCAGGGCAATTCAAGCCAACCCAAATGCACTCAATCAGCACATGCAGGATCCACGTATTATGACACTCCTCATGGGCTTGATGGGCTTGGATGCTCGTGGACCGGAGGATGGTCCCAGCCCCATGGATCAGGATCCTCCTTCCTCTCCTCCTCATTCCACATCCAAGCCAGCAGAGCCTGCTAAGAAGGAAGAGCCCAAGCCTACAGAGGAAGAGCCAAAAGAAGAGGAAATGCCAAGTGAAGAAGAACTGAAGAAGAAGGAGGCAGCAAAGATTAAGGATCTTGGAAACGCCAGCTATAAAGCAAAGAAGTTTGATGAGGCATTAGAGCACTATGGTAAAGCTTGGGAACTGGACTCTACCAATATTTCGATCTTGACTAACAAGGCTGCTGTGTACTTTGAGATGGGCAAGTACGAAGAGTGCATCAAGACATGTGAGGAAGCAATTGAAGTTGGACGTGAGCACCGTGCAGACTACAAGTTGATCGCTAAGGCATTGGGACGTATTGGTACTGCGTACTACAAGCAGAATAATCTTCCTGAGGCTATCCGATACTATGGCAAGTCTTTGGCGGAGCATAGAACCCCTGACATTCTTGCCAAGCTCAAGGAGGCTGAGAAAGCCAAGCTCAAAGCAGATAAGGAGGCATACAGAGATCCAGCTCTCTCAGCAGAGGCTCGTGAACGTGGCAATGCGCTTTTCAAACAGAGTGACTTTGCAGGAGCTGTCAAGGAGTATACTGAGGCTATCAAGCGCGATGAGTCTGACCCTCGCGCCTACTCTAACCGTGCTGCTTGCTATACAAAACTGATGGCTATCAACGAGGCTCTGAAGGACTGTGAGACTTGTATTGCACTGGACCCCAAGTTTGTGAAAGGATACATCCGCAAGGCTGCTATTCAGTTCTTGAAGAAGGAATACACTGAGTGTCTTGAGACATGTCAGCAAGCCAAGGAGGTAGATGTCGAGCATAAGAATACAGCAGAGATTGACCAACAGATTAACAAAGTCTATGCAGAGATGAGCCGTGGCCCTCAGCGTCGTGAGGGCGAGACTGAGGCAGAGACGTTGGCAAGAGCACAGCAAGATCCTGAGGTTCAAAAGATTATGTCTGACCCAGCCATGCGCAGCATCTTGCAGCAAATGCAAGAGGATCCTAAGGCTGCTCAGGAGCATATGAAGAACCCAATGGTGGCAGCAAACATTCGCAAGCTCATCAATGCTGGTATTATCCGTCTTGGTTAAAGAGAGATAGACAAGCATAAAACCTTTTTTTTTCATTTTCTATAGTAGTTGGCAAGCTTGTTTGGTCGTGTAGATACAATATATTTTTTTTTTATATTAATACAAACAAAAAAAAAAAAAAAAACACTTCGCTAATGTGAACAAGGAAAATAGGTCATGTTTAAAGTGAACGAGATTTATCTCTTCGCAGGACTGAGCAAGAAAAAGGAGGATTAATTAGAATCAATTCGACTTGTTCATTTCCTCATTCCCCGTTTTCCAATTCTGTTCACTTTTCAAAACTGTCTTTTTATTTCTATTATTTGGAGTTAGAATTGGAACATGATATCAAAAACTCCACAAATATCGATCCCTGGCCATGGTACGATCCAAGGAGTACAGGCGGAAACACAGCCATCGGTTGCCAAATTCTTAAATATCCCATATGCAACAATTGATGAGAGATGGCGCCCGGCAGTCAAAGCGGCCCCATGGACCGGTATTCGCGATTGCTCTACATTGGGGTAATTGACTTTTTTTTAGTGATTGATTCTAGTGTTTGTTCTTCCTTCACCATCGTCAATTGTGGAAAGAAATAATGAATTATATATCGCCTTACCCTTTAGACCTGCATGTCCTCAACCTTTTTACGAGAATCCACTTGCAAATCTCACCAACGATCCTGCAATAGCAGCTGCACTTTCCAATATCCAGTACTCAGAACGAGACTGCCTTAATTTGAACATCTTTACTCCGCTGGAACACCTATTTAAAGCTCAGACATTGATCCCTGTCATGGTTTGGATCCATGGCGGAGGCTTCTCGAGCGGCTCGAATGCGTTACCTCTCTACGACGGGACCAACTTTGTAGCGCGGTCGATACGAATCGGACGGCCAGTGATCCTTGTCACTATTAATTATCGATTGAACTATTTGGGGTTCATCTCGTCCAAAGAGTTGGTGGATGATTTAGACAATCGTCATCCAAATAGAGATCAGCAACAGCAGCATCAGCGGCGGCAGCAGCAGGAGGGATATAAAGACGACTATAACTTCAAGATGAGGAACAGCGTGGGTAACTGGGGACTTTTGGATCAAAAAATGGCGCTTGAATGGGTACGAAATCATATCCATCTTTTCGGCGGCAACAATGAGGACGTGACAGCGTTCGGAGAGTCCGCAGGTGCAACCTCGATTTCATATCATCTTTTGATCCCAGAACACCATGGACTCTTTCAGCGCGCAATCTTACAGTCTGGTGCAACAACAACCATGGCTGCAGGACGTACTGAATCCGAGGGACAGAGGTATTTTGATCATCTTTGTCAACACTTCAAGTTGGACGACGAATCAGTTCAGGATCCAGTCCTTGGTAAAAGTAGACCCTTGAATGGAGAAGAAAAACTGGCTCGCTTGAAGTCCATCCCCGCGACCGAATTGGTGAAAGCAGGGGAACGTTATCGAGTAGGTATGTTTCTTCCAACAATTGATTCGATTCTGATCCCTACCGATGTTCGTGAGTTGGTACATGATAGTTCGCGATATGATGCTGGCCTCAAATCAATAATGATTGGGAGCTGTCGAGATGATGGACTAACATTTATGCCGGTCCTGGGCGCTAAGTCACTAAAACGATGGGACAAGTTTATGAACCGATTTTGTCCGCCAACAGATGTGGATCGTCAACAGTTTCAAAGTATTTACGGAGGGCCACCTCAGTCGGATAAAGAAGCGAGGAGGATATCAGCTGAAGTCTTGACGGATGCAATCTTCTTGTATCCGAACTATGCCACCAGCATGGCCATTATGAAGGCAAAGGATAAAATGATGGTTATGAAGAGAAAGAACCAACAACAACAGCAACAACAAGCAGGATTATTGCCGCCGACTGAGATGGTCCGATTCCATTTCGACCGCCCTCTGAAAATGTTGGATGAGATGGGGCTCCGTTTTTTGGGGGCTTATCATGGCTCTGAGCTACCGTACGTGTTTGGATCAGATTCTGCACTACTAATGCTATCGCCAGAGGAAAAGGCGTTTTCAGACCGCATCATGGATTTGTGGATCTTATTCGCATGGGGAGAAACTAGTCGGCGGTATGGTCTTATGAATGGAATGAACTCCTTGTTCCCTAAAGATACGCCCTCTAGCGTGGTTGATAACAATGTTGGCATGAATGACAGTAGTATCAATAGCAGTGATATTAGTACTATGAACGGTGGGGGTTTGTGGCAAGAAGCTGTTGTATTCACGGAAGCATGCACAATAGAGCGGGGACGGACAGAAACGTTGGATCATAGAAAGATTGCTTTTTGGGAGCGGTACGAACAGTTAACTCGACAAAGGTATGCAGCAAAACATGCTGCCTATCACAACAAAAAAGTAAACACCAAGCTCTAGACTTGTGTAACCACGCTGTTGCCACCAATCAATAAAAAAAAAAATCTCAATCCCATGAGCCCTCATTGAAGTGGCCGAACTACCAAAAGCTGTGCTTTCAAGATAATTTTACAAATCAGTAATTATTTTGAGCTTGCATTTTGGTGCTCTATTATCTTTATTATTACTATCATTAGATGGGATATATGCGTTGCTTTCTTGGAGGGAGAAGGAGGGGTAAGGGGTATATTACAAATGAGAAACAAGGAGAAATAATGAAGAGTGTGATGTAGAGCTTGAACACGCAAAACGCGCGCATAGCATAGCTTAGCTTAACTTAGTTTAACTCAGCTTAGTCGAAAGAGAGAGGGATGTGTCTTTTTAAGGTTAGAGGATAAAATAGCTAAAAGATAAAATAAACTTCTTTAGCACCCTTCTGGGTCCTCTAGAACTTGCTGAGAGTGAATGGTTTGCATGGGAAGGGAAGCATGATGGAGACTCTCATAGATGTTACTGGTCTGGAAGGCCTGTTGAATCTGGCTGGTATTACTGCAGGTGCTATTGGTGTAAGAAGAGTTGCTCCTGTAGGAGAGATGACGATTGCCTGTGGTGTTCAAACCAAGTTGCTTGATAGACCACCGCTGCGAGAGTGAGCGCTCAAACTCAGCCAACTTCCATGATGAGGCAATGCCCTTGAAAATCTGTGAGACCACGTCTGCACGCCAGAGGAGACCATGGGTGCCTCCTTCAATGACGCTCAATGTACACTGTTCCAACCTTTCCTCCATCCAGTCCACGGCATCTTTTGTAATCACAGCATCCTAAAAAAAAAAAAAAAAAAAAAAAAAAAAAGTTATTTTTTGGTGCTTCATGCATAGTGCTCAAATGCATTGTTCCAAAATTAATAATTTTTTTTTTACCCTGGTACCCCAAAAGACATGCACAGGAAGCTTTACATCTTTGTAGCTAAATCCAAATGAGTGATAAAGTTCCAAACAGACCATCAAGTCGTTGTATGCGCCTTCCACGCTCTCCGCCATGTTATCTTCCAACATGGCCTTGCAGAGCTTTTCACGGTCATAATTTAAGATATTGGGATCAGAGCTTGATGGAGGCTCTTTAGCTGCCACAGATAGAGATTTGTATAGGAGACTGGCAGTGTATTGAGATTTCAATAATGTTGTAGGGACGTGTTTGATCCATTTCATACGCTTTGCGAGTGTAAGGTGGACCCAAGGAGACATAAGCCAGACAGTGCCAACAATACGAGACTTTAGTCGTAAAGCACAAGCCATTGCGTAGATGGCGCCACAAGAATGCCCCATGACGGAGAAACGTTGAATATTGAAACCATTTGCCATTTCCTCGACAATTTCGGCCATCCGGAGAGGTGTCCATTCCTAGAGAAAGAATAAACAAATTATAAACAACGGTTAAACTTTAATCTTGTCTCTTTCAGATTACACTTTTTTTTTCCTTTTTCAGGACATGGATTTTTTTTTTTACCTCAGGCTCGGTTGTATGTGACATTCCAACGCCGGGACGATCAATGCAATAGATCCTCAGCTGGTGTTTGAAGGCAAGATCTTCAAGGATGATGGAGTAGTAGCGCATGCATCCTAATCCAAGACTAGGAAAAAAAATATAAATATATACATAACAATGGTTGGAATTTAGGTGTCAATTGCTTTGTAATTTTGTCCAGAATATGGATTGTTTGTTGTTTGGCAATGTTTCTTATAGTTTTGCTTACAAACAAAATACTGGATGTCCACAGGGATGTCCTACTTCCGCAAAGGAGATGAGACGACCTGAGTAAAGTTCATAGCGTTGGTTCATGTCGACACTTCCGAGTGTAGCCTCAACATCAGCCATGGTTGGAATGCTGTCGAATGAGCAGACAGTGGCTTCTGACATTCGTCGTGACATGATGGGACAGAGTGGTTATGTGATGAAAGTTAGAAATGAGAGAATATGAGATGGCCTCTGCAAGAAGAACAAAGTGAGTGAATGAATGTGAAGGGGAGAGAGGGAGAAAGAGAGAGAGAGAGAGATACACACACAAGAAATGCAAGTGTATGAAAGGTGTGCAAGCGTATGTGTGTATAAAGAAAGGGAGAAGGAGCGAAAGAGAGAAAGGAAAGAAGAGAAAGGAGAAAGGAATAGGAACAACAGAACGAGGCTGGTCAAGACGGTAAAGGTGGCAAATAAATAAAAACGGGCACACCATGCCAATGCCCACGAGTCCGGGATATGCAAGTGAGCATGAGTCGACTAATGAGTTCGTACCATTCTACAGTTTTTAGCACTTTTAGATGTCAATGAACGGTATACATGTAAATATACATCGATATATATATATGTATAGCACTTTTATACAATGACTTGTCTGGACTATTCGAACGCTCATGCTCTCAGAAGGGGATGAACCTTGTAATATAAATCTCTTATTTATCACAGATGTGGATTGGACCGATCAGGGTGCATGTTCATGTACGAACCCACCATTGCCCGCTCATCTGCTCTTTCTTTCTGACCCTCGAATACCTTTTTTTTGTCCTAAATAGCGACAGTGTCTAACAGCAGGGTAGGTCCCGTTTGTCTTGGTCATGCTGGACCCGCCTGGTCGCTGCGTTGCAGCTGTTCATTTCGCCTCAATCTCTCTATTTTTTTTAGGAGTACTTGAGCAAAACATAAAAAACTAAAAGGTTATGCATGCAGAGAGTTCGGAAAAAAAAAAAAAAAAAAAAAAAGTATACCAGAAGAAAGTTGAATTAATTATCTATGAATACCATTCCAAAAGGGTTTCTGCCAAATGAAGAGCTTTTTTTTTTGGAGATCTTACTTTTGTGGCACAGGGTTAGGCTCGTACCCATCCCTCTTCACTTTATAAAGGTGACAGGAAATTCCATTTCCTTTTTGAGTCACCTAAAGTGAAGGGGCTGGGAACGAGCCTAGCACAGGGTTTGGTTTACCAAACAAATGGCGAATCATTTATACAACCACATTTCATAAAATGTGAATTATCGTAGAAACCACATACACTTCCGCATCCTTGATGCTAAAAAAAAAGGTCGGATTTGAGTCTATGTGTTTTCCGAAGTATCGAGAAAAAACATCAGATATCAGGGTCCTCTTAGCAATTGAGTTAAGACTTCTTTTAATGAATGTGCCCTGCGTGGCATTTCATTAGCCTAGCGCGAGTCAAAAAAACAAACAAACAAGCAAAAAAATCATCATCTTCACTTTCTCCGCAACTCAACTCTTTTGGTTCTTATTCAATTAGCGACATGTAAAGCTTTCATTTTTGGTATTCACAGGTGCTCAAATTGAAATAAATAATAGTAATAATAAAATAAATATTCATTGATGGACGATCGTTAGATAATTTGTATAGACTATATACATAATGTCGCTTATTTTTTTTTTTCCTTTTTTTTCAAACATTCACAGCGAGCTGTTGAATGATGGGATGAATATCGTCCATTCATCCATAGCCTTGGGTGTATGTATGACAATGAAAACCCTGCTTCTGTCCACAAGTTGTGGTATTTGTCTTTTCATTTAACCTTATTTTCTTTGTGTTGTAAACACTCTCGTAACGATTGCAAGCCTTTCAGGATAAATTGACCTCATTATCGGAACTGAATTTGGCACGCCTTTTTTTTTTTTCTTGATAATAATAATAACGGGTCGTAAGCCCATTGCCTCGTTACGGTCGGCTCTTGTCTCATTTGGATAATAGAAAAGTAAACGATCACATAAAATTTTGAACCGGTTTTCATGCTGTCTTTGTCCATTAATATTTTTTATTTTATTTTATCCAAAAGAGATTGAGTTCATTTGTCACCCTTTACTTCCACAAGTCTTGTAAATTAGCGTTAAATCGGAGACATTCGATAGCCCATAGGCCGCTAGCATTAACGGGGAATGAGAAGGACGTTGTTGATTGTGTTTATTACTTCTTGGAGTAGACGGATATAATATTTAGTCGTCCTCCTCTTGCTGGGTAGGCTCAATGATGTGCTTTGCTCTGGTCCAACTTTATCATCCGCTCCACGTTTTCTCTATAGACCATTGTTAAACGCCCAAGGTATCTATGGAAAGCTATCCAGGCTTGACCCAAACTCTTACATTGCTCCATTTAGATCATTAATGTCAATGTATCGGTACTAAAACCTTAATATTATGAATAAGTGATATCGCAAAACATGACTGGTGCATCTATGATTCAACTCATGTGGACGCTATTGATATATTGATATGGAGATAGCAATTTATCAATTACGCTGTGTTGCCAAGAACTGAAAGGCACGCATATAAAGTTCTTCATCGTCTACATCCATAGACCAACACCTAAACTACATACTTTATGGTTTCAACAGGCTCAACAAACCCAAACACAACAAAATCTAAGTGCACTATCTACACCAGTCAATAAACACTGGAAGATTTAAGTTGATACTTAGCTTTATGGCAGCCCAACTTTTTACTATCTTTTTTTTTTTTTTTTTCTTAAGTGCTGGATTTCCGTCACTTATTGACCATGTCAATCGAGCCTGATACTTGTAATGAACATCCCATTACGAGACAAAAGAAGAAGTGGGAGTGGCAGTATGTGTGCGTGTGTGAACGCAGACAATATGTATATGTATATATATTTTCTTTTTGGGTTCGCAACTAGCTTAATTCTCGTCCTTTTAGAACTGTATCTCTTTCACCACCCTTATTCGTTCCTCCTATAAAAAAAGGAATTCCTACACAAAACGAACCCTCCAGGAACAAGACAACACGTCGCGATATATCTTATACGAAGCGACTTGGCTCAATGTCTATACGTCAGAAAGGCATGGTATGAGCCGCTCATCCATTTCGTCTGAAAAATCGTGGATGTCAGCAGCACGAGCTAAGACAACCTTTCCCTCGATAACCTAAAGCAACATCGCCGCTTGCCATCAATCTACGGTTGGGTCCAATTTCAAAGATTATATTCTATCCACGACTGCAGAACCTGTCCCTTGAAGCAGGGCTCCGATATGATTTTTCAGATGCTGCAGTTCTGATCGTAAGCAGCCCATTGATGACGCATTAAATCCTTCATGACCCGCTGGGGAATTCACCAAGCATTGTGGTCCGTTGTATCAACGCTTTTAAACCCTGAGGTATCGTTGGTAGATTGAAGCGAAATGAGGCCAGCTGAAGCCTTTTGGAAAGCATGTTCCAGACTCAAGACTTTTGTTGTTCTCGAGTTGTGTGCCAACAGCATCAGTTGATCTTAGGATTGTAAATAGCTCACTGGGTCTGAATATTCCTCGTTTACACAGTTTATTATATATTTAGTGGTAACTATGAGCGCCACAGAAGAGCTTAGTCTGATCTGCCGCTGCTCCCATATACAGGAGCTGAAATGGATACGGAAACGAATCCAGTCTCATAAAAAGAGTATATTGAACTTATTTTTACTGAACATTGGCCAGAAGCTAGTAAAGTGGATCTGATTTGGTTTATTCAAAAAGACGAAATGCTTAGGACTCTAGAGAACATGACAAACTTCACAGCGCCAACTCTTGACTACGGTTGTGATGTTTAGTCCCAACACTTCCCAAACTCTCCGGCAATACTTCAGTAGTCTCTGAGTGCTCGATACTGCCTCATTATGAGACGTGGCACGCGGGATGGTTCAAGCAATCCTATGCTCATGCCAGGACTCGCCCTGCATAACAACGCTTGCCAGCATGCTGACTATACAACACTCTGAAGTAGTGAGGTCTGCCGTTCCCAAAACCACCTCTAGATCGACTTTATGTCCTTGGAGCAAAGAAGCCATCTTCAGACAATGGTTTTCGGACGCTCGACCTCGTTGAAGCAATTAAAGCTATTGTCTGTCGTCTGATGGACCAGACACATGGAGGTCAATAGCCACATTTTCAGACTCTAGACCTAGCATGCAGCTTTAATATGGCTTGAGCAAAGTTGCTAGTCTAAAAAGGATGCAGGATCTAGACACCCTTGAGCCGAAACAGGTGCTCGATAAAAAGGACATTGAATGGGTAGAACTGGCCCGAGCTCAGCACTTGTTGATTGTGTGATAACGCGACACGGTGTTGCATAGGTCTGTTGGTGCAAGGGATAAAATAGAAATAAGCTATTACATCCTTGTCCGTGCATTAGGCCACAGTAGGTCAGGCCGGAAAGGTGAGCTTTGAGTATCAACCATGGCGGCCAAGGCTTATGACATTGTGGATGCATCGGCATAGTCATTTATGCAGTAATAGCTGTTTAATGACTATAGTGTTTAGGGATTTTGTTCATAGAGTATAGAAAATAGATTCCACGACTCTGAGGAGCCTTGTTTTCAAAATAAAATCGTCCATGCCTCTGTCCATTTTATCTTCCAGTTGGCAACAAGGTTAATAAAACTATAGTGCCTTGATGAAGATTTCGTAAACCAAAAATGAGGAAGGAGTTTGAGTCTGTTCATAGATATGGTAGATGGAGAGGTAACATGTGCTGTGAAGAAGATGTAGAATGCCATCGAGCTGGGTTTCATGGGTCTAAATATGGCTCTGGCGCTTTTTGGGCACTCCAACATTATCACCATACCACTTTGAGAGAGCATAACCTGAAAGGGCTATTGTTATGTGGCTACAAGCGATCTGATACTCTTTTACAAAACTGGAGGGTTGAGGGCGGATGGAATGTTAGAGCAAGAACTGGTGGAAAATCGATCATTAGTATGAAAGAAGCTACTAATCCTGGACGCCATAACATGATCATTAACTAGGGATCTTTGAGCCCTTATCCCATCTGATATGGTTAGAAGACTTGAATGTGAGTTATAATGAGGGAGTGAGGATATTAACTTTTATTACATGATTAGATCGACTAGAGGGTCAAATAAGGCTTTGCTACCTAAAGTAAAAATAGGCTCGATTGGCAAAAGCAACAGATGCAGCTGCTGGTCTTCAAGGTGGCGGTGAGCAAACACATCAAACCATTACAAAACTTGGTGGCTGTGCTTAAACAAAAAAAAAAAAAAAGGGCTGTCACATTTGTTTTTTTTTTTGAAGCGTTTCGATGATGCATTCTTCTACGCCATTTCCTTTGTTTCTTTTTGACGACAATAAAGTATAAAGTAGGCATGGAAGTAACTCAAGAATTCATTAGTATTGGATGCAACAGACTTACTCAAGCGCTGGCTTGGGGTGCAGACGGACTAGCAGCATTCGGAGCTCACCATGCAGTTGCATTATATTACCCTATGGTATTTTTTATGGTTATTCAGGAATGGCATTCAGGGAAATATGCGTCTGGGCTAATATAAGATGGCACAGTAGAATTTACCTATCATTATTTTGTATCTCTGAGATAATTGCTAGGATGCTGCAAGGCATGGTGTTCGTGTAACTCTACAAGGTCATTCAGCTCGTGTCAATTGTGTTGCATTTTTGAATAGAGGGTATGAGCTTAACCAGCGTAATGTGGCCATTGTCTCGGGATCTGCAGACAAGACGGCTAGGATTTGGAAGAGGCAGGGCAGCAGGGGAAATGATGGCCAGTGGATTTGCTCCGCTGTTCTAGAAGGACATACCGGATCTGTAATCACTCTTGGAGTTGTCAGAGCCAGATCAATCCACGAGAACCAGGGCAAAGATCTCTTGGCGACTGGCTCAGGTGATGGAACTATCAAAATTTGGGAGCGTAAAGAGGTGGATGAACATAAAGGTAAAGAATAAGGCCAAATCTTCACACATTGGAGATATGTATTTTTACTCACTGTTTTAAATATTTTTGGTTGAGACTACAAACCCTTGTAGGCTTTCGACACCATGTTTTACTTTTTTATTGTATGTAATTCATTCATGTCATCCTTTGTAGATGAGGTCACTTGTGTTCAGACGATTCAAGTTGGGAAGAAGTACCCACAGTCAATTGCTATCTCATATCTACCCAAAACCACTGTTCCTATCATGGCAGTAGGCAGTACGGACAACAAGATCAATATTTACTTGATGCACAAAAACCAAGTAACGCGCGTACACACACGAATAGAAACTGGATACATAAATTTAAGTCTTCAAATATGATGGCTGAAGGATGATGTTGGTGACTTATCGTTGGCTTTCTATCGGTACATTGGTTCTGGTTGATAGTTTGAAAAGGTTCTCTCGCTTCAAGGGCATGATAACTGGGTACGCTCACTGGATTTCACCACATTTACAAAGGATGAAGTTCCCTCACAGAACATAGAAAGCGAATCAAATGGAGATGGTGTCGGCTCTAACTCCGACAATGAGGCCATGAAAAAAACTTCACACCATCACACTCTGCAAGATGGAGACTTGCTACTTGCTTCTGGATCACAAGACAAATACATTCGTTTGTGGAGAATATCTGCAGTTGATAAGAAGGAAGAGGAGCAACGGGATGAAGCCCAGAATGAAGGATCCGAAGGCGGTTTAACTCAGGATATGCTTAGAAGTCTTGAAGAAATGTAAGATATGGACTCTTTAATCGCTCGTCACCACATTCTTATCATTACTACACTGCTTGACAATGGCTTTAAATTTTATTTCGTCAAAAAAAAAAAAAAAAAAAAAAAAAAAAAAGGTCAAAATCAGGAACGCAGCTCAGCACAAAAGCTCATATCATTGAGGCCTATCCGGACGATTCTTCTGAAGGCCTGAAGCGTTTCTCTGTCATGTTTGAAGCCTTACTCCTTGGACATGAAGATTGGGTCTACACTATTAACTGGCAGCCTGCCATGAATCTGAATGGGAAGTACCACCAGCCCATGTCCTTGCTCTCAGCCTCAACGGACAAGAGTATGATGATCTGGAAACCAGACGAAGCAACAGGTGTTTGGGTGAATAACACCCAGATGGGTGAGGTTGGAGGTAATACTATTGGATTCTATGGAGGCCTGTTCGGACCAGATGGACGCTGGATCTTGGCATATGGCTATAATGGCGCATTCCATATTTGGAAGAATGAAGGGGACGAAATTGGAGGTAATGATATTCGATGGTACGACGTTTTTGATTGAAAGAAAAGACATAGTTTTATACAACGGAAAGTCATTTGACTTTTTTTTTTTTTTTTTTTTTTTTTTTTTGGGGGGGGGGGACCAGATCGGTGGATGCCACAGGTTCCAGCAAGTGGACATTATGCTCCTGTGCAGGATTTGACATGGGACCCAACGCAATCGTATCTTGTGACAGTCTCACTTGACCAAACCGCACGTTTATTCTCCCCTTGGACACATACTATCAGCAAAGGCAACGGTAACAATGATAGCTCCGTGACTGAAACAACCGTCTCAACATGGCATGAGATCGCGCGTCCACAGATTCATGGATATGATGTTCAGTGCATCGCTTTCTCCTCCAAATACACATTCATCAGCGGCTCAGACGAAAAAGTGCTCCGTGTCTTTGATGCGCCTCAGACATTTGTCCGATCTCTGGCTTACTTGACTGCTAACGACTCTTTGCTGGGAGACGAAAGCTCGCGCCCTGTGGGGGCCAACTTACCTGCATTAGGTCTTTCCAACAAAGCTGTATTTGAGAATGATATTGCATCGATGGTGGAGGCTCAAGAATCTGAAGAGTATCTGTCACAGCAATCATTTGTCTCCACAGGCGCCACACCCACAAGCTTAGTCGAGACCATGACTCACCCACCATTTGAGGAACATTTATTGCAACATACATTGTGGCCAGAGGTCGAGAAATTGTTTGGACATGGATATGAGTTAATGTGTGTGGATGCTTCACATGATGGAGAATGGATTGCATCTGCTTGTAAGGCTCATACACCTGATCAAGCGGGCGTTCGGTTATTTAATGCCAAGACTTGGAAGCAAACCCCACATCCACTGCAGTCTCATACCCTCACAGTGACTAAAGTCAAATTTTCACATAGTGACAAATATCTTCTGAGTATTTCCAGAGATCGTTTGTGGAGCTTATTTGAACGAGTTGAAGATTCTGATGGTGAGCCAGTCTTTATTTATTTTTATTTATTTATTCTATTTTTAAAGAAAGCATTGGGTGTCACTTACCAATTTCAATCAATGCCCTTTTTTTTATGTTTGAATGTGCACTCAAAGCTTCAGATCCGTACAAGCTTGTGGCAAGTAATAAGGCGCACGCTCGTATTCTATGGGATTGTTCTTGGTCCTATGATGATTCTTTGTTCGCAACAGGTTCGCGTGATAAAACAATTAAGATCTGGTCAAAGACTGCTCAGGTGACGCCTGTATGGAATTGCATTGCGACGATAAAATTGCCTGAAGCTGTCACCGCCGTCGAGTTTGCACCCAAGATCCCTGCTGAAAATGGCGATGTCGTGAAGTCGAGCGACCATATCCTTGCAGCAGGCCTGGAGGACGGCCGCATCTTCTTATTCAAAGCAACTGCGAGTCAGCCTGAGGCGTGGTCATCATTGGGTGAGATCAAGCGCGAGTAAGTATTAGAGCCTTTTTATTTTGTTTATTTTATCTTATTGGAACCGAGTCAATATACTTTTTCCGTCCTGAACTAATTCTACACGATTCTTTTTTTTTTTTTTTTTTTTTTTTTTTTTTACAAAAGGCTCACGCATATTGGTACAGTGAACGGATTGGCGTGGAGACTGGCAACGGACGAGTCAGCTGGTGTGAAAAACAAGTTGCAATTGGCTAGCTGCAGCGCCGATCATTCTGTCCGCTTATTTAATATTAGGATGCTTTAGATTTGTCGAAGAAAAAGTGAGTAAAAAATAAAATTGTTTTTTGATTATTAATCTGCTTGTTTGATAGCTTTCATATAATGTTACAATATGTTTATACTTGAATCAGAAGGGCAAAAAAAAAGAAGGTATAAAAAAAAAAAAGACGAGGCGAAGAAAGCCTAGTGATCCTGTAGAAAAGATTAGAAATGAAATGGTAGGTTTTTCTTCTTTCAAGGCTTTTCTTGAGGGATCTGAGTTAAGTCAAAAAATGGATCAAGACAACTCAGCCATGAGCACATTTCGTTGCGGTTTGGCGCTTGCATCATGTATGAGTTGCTAGATGTGTATATCGCAAAGACGTGCTGCAGCTATAGATTTTTTTTTTTTTTTAAAAAAAAAAAAAAAAGTTCAGACACTATTCATTTTACAGAGGGTCAAAAATAATAATAATAATAATAATAGGAGTAAGATATACGTGATAAAGCAGTTGTCGTTACGTTTAACATGATCTCGAGATCGCGCTTGTAGTCGATACGGACATGGGTAAGATTGATGACACCAAGTTCTTCCGTTTCTGATGAGTTGGTATAGACACTCATATAAGGCCTCCGAATCACAAACCAGCGTTTGATCCAGTTCTCATCTCTATTCTCAGGATAAAAAAGGTACCCTTTCTTGGATACAATATCGCTTAAAAAAAAAAAAAAAAAAAAAAACTTAGTAACAATTTTATGTTAAAAGAGAGTGAGTCTCAATGTAAAATAATTATCGAGCATACCTCTTGGTTATCAATTTAACTTCTGACTGTAGTTTTGGTGTTGGGCGAGGTTGCTTGATAACAGTCAAGTTGTCAGCGTTCGTTGAAGGAGGGTCCTGACTGATTAATATCTGTGGTATTAAGATTAAACACCCAAGATTAATGTGGATATTTTAAAAAATAAAAAAATAAAAATAAAAAAAAATTATAGTACAAACGGCTCGAGCAGTTGGTGTCCTTACATCTTGTATTGAAACAGTTTTGAAGCGCCATAGGTCGATCACTTTACGCAAAAGCCCCTGTCTGGCTAACTCAGGTGCCTTATCATTGTCCTCTTCCATACAATCATCTTCGGTATGGTTCCCTTTGTCTCTGCACAGGAATGACTTGTACTGTTTGCTAGTTTCAACTAGTTGAAGCCATTGCCTTGTTTTTTCAACAGCTTCCAATTTACGGATTCCCTTCCTTGTCAAGTTAAAGTCATTAATAAGCGATACGCCACGAGGTCTCCAAACCCCAGCCAGAAACTCTTCACCTCTCACGTATTTGCTGGCAGTATTCAACCGCCATAGCTCTGATGCATTTCTGGCCACAATTGGTCGTAGTGTCAATAGGAACAGTCCACTTGCCTTCTTGAGAACTCGCGTAGTAGAGTGCTGCAGAAACATTGGGACGAATCTATAGGGTGCATGCGATCCTGCTCGTGCCTCCCGGTCCTGAATCTGAGCTGCAATATCCATACGGAAACAAATAGGCTCCATGCACCTCTCCGCCTCTACAAACCAAGTCAGCGTCAGAAGGATACGCGTGTTCGATGTAGTTACCCTGTTCAAAAACAAAGACTCATGCAGAGTACTGTCCCATGAGGCATAAACAATTAAAACACTAGTGCCATCAGCAAGATATTCGGGCTTTTGTCCAGGGACAATGTTGAGCGAAACGTCTTCTCGAGGAGAGGACTCTGTTATTTTGCCATTATTGCCGAGCAATCTCACTCTTCCGATATTAATCTTGGAAACATGGTTCCATGCGAATTGATGACCAGACGTGTGAGATAGTGTCAGTACAATCCGCCGCTGCAGTCCCTGACGAAGTTGGAAAGCTCCTATATCAACCGTCGATTTAGAGATCACTTGCACAGGCATGTAATCACCTGATGGTGCTAATTCGCATACTTGAACGTGAGCAAGGACGTCGTGGTGTTCCTCCATAGTCAATTCATCTTCAGATCGCCGTTCTGATAGTGATGACAAAGAGCCTTCGCAACCCACATGAGGTCTGCGCCGACTTCGTAGAGAGGGATGTCCATTTACTGCTGGTAACTTGTTTGATGCAGCGGTGGCGCTAGCTTGCGGTTGATGTGTATCCTCCTTATCTTTATCCCATTTTTCCCACGCTGCTAATGTAGTTGATGTAGCCTCTCCAAAGAACTCAAAGTTCAAAGATCCACGCAAGAGGATGTCCAAAATTGATGGTGTGACAGTTATAGATAATACCTGCGAAAACCCAAAAAAAATCGGACCTTCATCAAAACCGCCTACAGGATCAGTTGCAAACAGCTTGTCCCCTCGAACCAAGCTTGCTTGGAGGACACCAACATTCTTTCCCACGCTTGCTGCCGCTCCTCCTCCTACTGCTGCTTCTGTAAAGTTAGAAAGTCTGAATTGAGCGTGGATCTGGGTATATTGCTGTTCAGAGAACCCTTCAACTGTCAGGAGTGAGATTTCAAACAAAAGCTGGTCCCCCACTTTCAACCCGCTGGGTGTATCTAATGAGGTTGGTTGGTCTTGACATTTGTCGTGCTTCTGGATGCGATTATTTGTCTGCGATTTTAACGGCGGAATCTTCAAACCAACAGGTCTTTCGGTATTATTATAGCTAAGTGGTGAAATTGCCACCCTTGCATTCCCGACCACTTGTCCTGTGATTCGACAAAGGATTGGAACCACTGACTCCTTGAACTGTATGCTGCATAGGCTCCGTAATATGACTGAGGCGCTTCCTATGAATGTGAATCGAGGCACTGGCGCTTCATAAAATGGATCCCCCATATTGAAATGCTCCCGGTATTGAGGCCGATCAGAAATATTGTAAAGATTCCGCATTCGTTGCAAACGAACTTTGAGCTTTTCAAATGACCAAACGTAGATGACGTTGTGCTTGCTGTCAATGACTCTGATGGCAACGCAAGGCCGCTGTGCAATGTGTAGCGATGTATCCTCGTCATTGCTGTATTGAGAGATACCCGCTGTTGACTCCCAATATGAGCCTGGATTCCCCAAGGGTCCAGCTTCCACTATGGTGAACTGGTAGACAACCTGTTTGGACAACTCGTGACTGATGATGTTGGCTTCTTTGATCAACACTGCGTTAGTCAGGATGATTTCCGCCATGTGGATCCTCCGATGCTGCTTCCAAGAAGCCAAAGTTTTATTGATAAGTCTAAGCTCATGATCAGAATACATTGGCAGAATATTCTCTTTGAGCTTCACCTCATCGAGATGGCTACTCGTCATGCTCATAATTGACATCCGTTTCATCTTCTCCTCATATTGCTGCCGCTGATCTTCCAATCGCGCCTTCAAATCCTCCTCAGCTCGTCGCAGCCTCTCTTCCATCTGTGATTTCTCTGCAAGAAGCTCATCTGATTTTGCTTCTGCTGCCGATAGATTTTGAATCTTGGCTTCGTATTCTATACGTTGTTGTGTCATCTGCTGCACCTCCAGCTCGGCCAACCTTAGCTTCTCTTTTAGAGCTAGTGCTGACGATTCCAGTGGAGGGATAGGGCTCTCTCGCTCATCTTCAAACAAAGTGTGTTCCCCATGCCATCTCTCGATTGTCGACATCCGTGATGATCTAGATTCCGTATCGTCATCAACAGTTGACCCTGGACGACTATCAGAGCGTACACTCTTGCGCATATATCTGACTTTTGCGATGTTTTCAAACAGCAACTCCAAATCATGGTCCTTGAGATGATGGATACTGGATTCTGAAAGCATGTGGGCATGAATGACAGCCTCTTTGCGAGCATAATTATAGTCCAAAAATTCTGACATAATTGAGGCAGACGAAATGGGAGAATCTGGCCGATCTTCTGGCCGATCGTCCTCCATACTATTTGAGTGGGTAGGATGCTGATTCTTCAAGGCGGGAGGTGAGTTTGAACTCGATCCCCCAGTGTTTAGTTGCTGCTGCTGCTGGTCGCGCTCCTTACGAACCTCTTCCGGATGGTTGAAGCGGAACACATGATGGTCACCCAAAATAACTCTGAACCCTGAGCGCAGTCTCTTTGGCTTACTAATACGCAACCCATTGACCATTGTCATAGAGGACGTACCGGGGTATAATGTGACAACTGAGTTAATGTTCTCAAAATAACAGTGCTGATCATGAATATTGGATCCTGAGAGGCGAATGTCGGCTGGCATTGAAGACTCCAATCGTCCAACGTGAGTCTGTCCAGGTTTTAGTTGGTAAACAAGGCACTCCGACATGAGTGGATCCTCACTCAAATTCACAAGATGTGGCATCTTTTTAGGGGTGTGTACACCAATATGGCCTTTTTCAACAGAAATTCCAAGCTCCTCTAAAGTTCGCTCACGCTCCAATTGGATCTCCTGAGTTCTTCTGAGCTTCTCCTCCCATGTCTCGTTTAGCTCCGCCATGATCTTCTCCGACGCCTGAACTTCATCCTGTAACTGCTCTCTCGTAAGTGTCCTTGGATTTCCATGGAGATCTACAATGGTCACTAAGGTATTAGAAGGTACCACAGTAGATCCTGTCTGTAGTGGATCGTATACACCCAATTTTGACCGTAGCTCCTGCAGTTCCTCCTTTAATTCACGAATTAATTTAGCGTTTGGATCTTCGTTCACGATAGCCTTGTTCTTTATCTTCTTGGCCTGATCTGCATAGCGAAGGGTGCTCAATGTCTCATCGTAGTTGATATCTGCTGGTGATAAGGCTGCAATCATCGCTGTTTTTGAGTTCCCGCCCAAGCAATCCTTCAAAAGCCAAGTCAAAACCTAAATAAAGGCAAACATTGTAATATAAAAATATTATGATTTAGCAAGAGCACTAAAGTCACAAAAAAGGAAATGAAAATGAAAAAGATAAAGAAGAAAGAAAGAAAGAAAGAGGGAAGGAGAGGAGAAGGGGAGGAAGAGAGGGAAGTAGGGAAGAAAGAGGAATGCCTTTGTTTATAACTTACGGAGTCACGATAGGGTATAAACACTTCTGGGGGTTTCTTGGTTCCTTTCTTGGGCACTGAAGCACTGGAAGCATCCGCCAAGGCCGAAATGACCTTGCCCAGTGTTGTCAATGATTTATTAATGTTTGCTCCCTCTTTAAGACGCGCACCTGTTGCTCCAGTCGAATTAGCTCTCTCACTTCCTGCAAGATCCACAAGACTGTAAATCAATATAATTAGAAAATAAAATCATCTTATCTGATCTGCCATTATATGAATTCTAATTTGCTAGAAGTGTTGTCAAAGTCATACCATATTCGGGAGACTTTTTCTGTTTCTAATTTGGTTTCAATATCGTATCTCTTTTGAGTGAGCAAAACTGTGAAAACCGCATGAGATCGACTGGATGTTTCGTTCATATTTGTTGCAGCCACTGTTCGAGCCTAAAATGAAAAGAGCATAGGCAGTTATGGATATAAAGTTGTTTTCAAAGAAATGTAATATCCGATAAATCTACTATACAAGACGCACCTTATTGCCTTCATCCATTAAGTTCTCGATGTCTTGAAAGGAGGTGACAATAAGTTTTGATAAATCCTCGACGTACGGGCCCAGGGACGGATGTTCACGTACTTTGAGATTCCCTTTGTTCTTTGGATTTAATAAATCACGAACCCGTTCGCAGTAAATTTCCATGTACGAGACCTCAACTCGGTAACTCAGTGTAGGATCCTTATTAGCCTCTATCCGCCGAAAGAGTTCATGGCAGGATAAGGGTATAATGCCGCGATCTTCTCCATATCCCATCTAGATCATAATTTGAGGCGTGATAATCAATGCAGGGAATTAGTTTAATGTCCAAAGCTTTCCCATGTAACAATGATATTCCAATGTTCTTCCTTTCTCATCATTATTAATTCTGTTTCTCCTGATTGTCCTTCGCAGTCATTTCATGGTAACTCACCATTGAGTATGATTTACCGCTTCCTGTCTGTCCGTCTTGAAAAAGGATAGAATAAGGTACCAAAGTTAGATACTTGGTATGTTACAGCAGATAAACGAGTGGTATTAAGACACCTTTTATCTCTTGTCGACTTACATGCTACGATGCAGGTATTGTATCCGCTGAAAGCATGATTTAACAATTCGACGCCCAAATCCTCGTATAACCGTTGTTGTCCTGCGTAATTTGAGTCGTTCTTATCAAAAGACCAGTAAGAATGATCAAACGAAAATGATTTCGTAGCGCCCCCACCGCCATCTGGTCCATCTGGCTTAGTGATAGTTGTCATATTGCCATCCATCCTTATGATGCATTCTGCTTTCCTGCTGATCTCTGTAATAAAAGTTCAAAGCACACAAATATCAGCCAAAGCTAATGACCAGATCTGCATGATACAAGCAGTCTACCAAAGGGAGAAAAAAAAAGAAAAAAAAGCGGATAATGACTAGTTTAAATTGCAAAAAAGACCTACCTCGACTGTTGAGTGGCCGACAGCGGACTACCACTTTGATGTTACCCCCTTTACTCATAGTGCAAGCAATGTATTAGGGCGAAGCACACTGGATGAATCTAGGGAATTGTAATTGCTGTGAGGAAGGAGGTCAACGGCTCGGCCCCACTGCTCCCAATGTCTTTTTCCCCCAAGAAATGGATATATGTGTGTCCTCCAAGTTGTTCAGTACTATTTGGCTTCAGCTAATTGTATGACAAGTTCGTCCAATGCTCTTCCTGTTGTAAAAGATGTGTCCTTGTTGGTTTGAATCGGTATTGTGATTTAGCCTTTAAAGCAAGTGGAGCAGATGATAGAAAAGGGTTAGAAGAGTTGATTTGTTTACAGCAATAAGTGTAAATGTATACAAGTATATAGACTTTATGTCTGTACAGAACCGAGAATAGAAATGAAATGGAGTAGAACAATGGCGGAAAACGAATGAAGGGCGGAAATTAAAAGCTGTAACAAAAGGGTCGAGAGCGAACCGCAAGTGCAGAAGATGAGAATGAAAAACAAATATAACAAATGATACAGCGTTGTGAAGAACAAAGAAGTTAATGAGCAAAATGATGGAGGGCAAGGATGGAGCAATGAGCATTTCTAACATCTGTTAGACTACCAACAACCCACATGGGTGTTTGGCTTGGTAATGACAGATGTTATCATTCATGATACATGTACACAGTGTTTAGATACTCCGCCTATTAATTTGAATACAACACATGGTTGCTCAAATGACTATGTGACACAGTCCATTGCATCTTAATTTCCCTCGATCGAACTCAGGCGCTATTCTCGTACCTCTTCAGGTTTTGGCTAATTGATTCATAAAACAACTATACATCGTGTCATGGATAGAGCTTAATCCATGATGGCTCCATTTGCAGAGACGAGCCAAGGACTAGAATGAAACAGCATAATGGTGCTTATACAAAATCTTCCGAATGTACAATAGCTCATGTGATGTACATGTACCAAGCCAGCCATTATGGATAGGAGTAAAGGGGTTTTATTGGCTACTCTACGTATCTCACTTCCTCTTACATCATCGTCCCCATCTATGCCATCCCCCACCTCCTACGCATCATCTTCTACAATGACCAACATGATATGATGAGCAAAAATCATCAGTAAATTCTGACCACTCAGGAATTATTCACGTACCAGCGGCATACCAGGTTATTTTGCAATAGGGTACACTGGTACATTAGTGATACCGTTGAAAACCACTGTACCTTACAGACAAGTTGATAAAGCCTGTGAAAAGTACGAATATTCAATTTTAATCATAGAGAAATGTTTACCTCGATTACTTAAATATAGGTGAAGGATAATCTATGATCATTCAACCTGCCGCTTACGTGTCCAGCCCACATCAAGTTTCATCTGCGATGTGTGGTACTGTTTGGCACGCGTAATTATGACCGTTCAACGCGTTCCTTTTGCCTTTTGATAATCTACTTGGCATATCACATGTGCTCCGTACTGAGTCTATTGACTGAATATCATACGACTATGAACCTTTACACCATAAACTCGTGCAGTATTTTGAGTTCTTTCCGAGTTGAGAACTATTGAATTTCAGAACTATTCGCCTTGCGTAGGCAAGATCACTTCCATTCCCCAGCCCTCGTCATTGTTACTTTCTAGCATAAAGCTTCCCTTTCCATACAGAGCAAACAATAATCATGTTATGCGCTATTAAATATTATTATTATTATATTTCTGTTGCTTCCTTCACTTCTCCTGCGCGACCGTTCCCTCTACTCTTATAAAGCGGCAGGTCAAGGACTTCCTCCAATTACCTCTGGTTGCACAACACCTTGCCGGCGCATTACCTTCTCGATCCAGGCCATCAATGCGGACTAATGGTCAGCTTCATGGTGAAGCCCAGCAGAGCGCAGTCTCTAATACTGAAAACGCCCTAGGAGTTGTAATGTCTGATTGCGCCACCAAGGCACACTTCAAACCTTTAGTTTAATCAATAATGCTTGCGAGCGATATATAATGTACATGTTCCAGGGCACGGCTGTCACTAATAGTTCATAAAGTAAATAATAATAATGAGAGTAACGTATTTTTTCCACAATATATATTTATATACACCTTTTTTTTTATCGATGTTCACCCCACGAAGATTAGGCTTATATGAAATGCACCTTTTACTCCAGTTACAACCGGCCATGAGCCAGTCTTCATTCATTCAACCGACATCAGCCCCTTTTTCATCAGGGTTTTAATTTGAGTGCTTATAGAGTGTTACCGCAATGACAACTATATATCGCTTTTCCCATCAGAGTACAGCCGCCTTGAGTATCTTTTAAATGCTGCGAGTTCCTCCCGAAGACGGTCTTTCTTTTTTTGTGCAACAACGCGTGTGAGGCACCACTGTTTACATACATCTCACATAGAGGTCTTTAACCAATAGGGGCCTCTAGCCTGAAAATGTTCTATTGAAGATAGCTTTCAGCATCTCTTCAGCGTTTGCCAAAAAAAAAAAAATCTTACCATCTTCGTTTAGACTTTTGATGATGCCAAAGTTAAGTTCACATCCAAGTCTCGGTATATTGTGGTTGTAGTCATTCTTGGAGACTATCTCAAGGATTACGAGCTGGGCTCGGATACAGTTTAATGCTTCAAGCTCGGAGAGCGTCATATACAAGACCCATCATATACAAGGGCCAAATATTTTGTAACTGGTTTCCAAATCATAGTAATGTTATCATACAGATCGCTGTCTCGTATAACGCCAACATTGTTTGCCTTGTAATCTCGGGCTACCTGGAGGCCTGCCTCAGTGTGGCACATAATCGCATTCCACCCTTTTCACTTCAAGTACTCAACGAGAGCAACTTGTTTTCCCATAGACCAGTAAAAGGCTCGCTTCAAGTTCTTGGCGACTGCTACAAAGTGGTGTTTCCGTACACGAAGGCTAACCTCTATCCGGCTGTTCAGAGTCTCCATCGCCTTGCATTATTTAAAAAACTTACTCGTTGACACAAACGGTGATTTGTTGTTTCTTGTTTTTCGGTACAAGGGGCGCCGCCAAAATTAGGAACTAGAGTCTCCTTCGGGCCAAGCTTCAGTATTTGCTGTTCAACTATTAAATGTACTTTATCCGCTGCATAGGAAGAGTACGTATGGGCGATAAGACCGAAAAAAAGCCCCAATACACCGACATGTGTTGTAGCGATGCTGGAGGAATGCGGAGAATGAGCTCTTTGCCCTTCTTTTACAGAAAAGGCCAGAGACCATTGATACCCATTGCTGTGGGGATTGAATTATACTATTGCAGCAGTTGTATTGTATCAGTGGGATCGGTGGGAGAGAAATGATGAAGAAGGCAGGGCAAGTATAGTAAAGTAGAGGGGAAAAGAAAAAATGGCTGTATTAAGAGCTTTTACAGTTAGACCAGTTCGTTGACTAGAATGTAAGTGAAAATACCATATCTACACGTCTGGCTATAGAGCGATATGTATACATTCTTAATTTTGAAATGTTAGGTAAGTGGAAGACATGGTACGTGTCTAATTTGCTTTTTTGGCTCTCCTGTTGCTTCCATGGCGATCCTTTGGCCAATGCAGTAACCGTTCCCACTTAACAGCTTGCAATTGTTGAGTATGTCAACCAAAGCTTGAATGCGTGACAAAATATGCGTAGATGTGCGTTCTTGCAGAGATGGAGTATCCTCAATTATGTGATCGACTACATCCGATCTAGCAAAGCAGGGCTAGTCTAATACCCTTCTTAGCTCTTCGGGTTATAACCTAGTTTTCCTTGTCTCTGTCAACACTCTGTTTGGCGGACCCGCACCACCTGGGTATGCTTGCAGGTACGAACATTGGGGCGTCATGGACGCTGCTAACTCCCATAACAGATGGCTCCAAGGTACACAATCCACGATCATAAAAACTTACATTTCATGACAGATAGCTTGTAGTATCAATGACTTGTACACCAGTGTCGTCACGGTGTACCAAAGGCGCGAGCTTTTTCGTCATAATAATCATAAGCAGTACATAATTTAATATGATTCACAAAACATCGCTGATACTGATACACACACCAGCGATATCACTAACGGAAACTATTGGTGGTTTTCACTGATCGGAGCGAACACCGACTCATCCCTGAATCTACTTTAGTGCGCGCAGAATGAGATACTAATGCTACTACATCCAAAATGTCAATGGGCCAAAGAGCCCAAGTCTTTGCAATGATGGCACTAGCAGTCCCTTGTTCCAAACGTAAAGTGCCCTCTCTCTCTTGGAGGATTTTCCCATCATTGCTCATCAACAGAGTAACAAATAAAATCCAAGTAAACTAGAAAAACCAGTGAAGTTCATAAGAACTGCTTCAAAACGCCCTATCAAAAATGAATTGAGACCAAGTGAAGAGACTCTTCAGGCGGTAATGATAGTCCCAGCAAGTGTTGGATGTTGCTGCGTTTACTTAGACCAAGTCTGACATTCCATGATTTACAGGTTGAAGCAGGATGAAGAATGTTCCTCCAATCTTCCTTATTACTTACAACGATGCACGTATAGGGATCTATCGTAAACAGATAAAGAGGGGGAAGAGGTCACCACCCAAGCGCCCGAAGAATGCGAAGAAGAACTTATGACCCTGTGGAAGGAGCTAGATCGCATAACAGGCAAAAAAGAAAGTGTACATTGAATCCATACAATGATAGCGAGAGGCGTTCAAGCGCCTGAACAAACTAGCTGCAAAAAACGACCTCTTTCTACTCCGTTCTATTGGGAGAATCAATACAAGATATTGAAAGGTTGTGGCAATCCGGGTTGTCAAATAGATTAATTCGTTCTATTTGGCAACGACACGAACACATGGCTAAATGGACGGATATTTCAACTGTGCCACACATGATAAACACACTGATGCCAAAAGAAGACAAATGAAGGCTCCAGTGTAGAGGAAGGCGACTAATTTGCCCACGAACGGATATACGCTTATTTTTTCAGCGATACGGGGTGGGGACTTGATGAATTCGTACAGGCAGTATTCAAGAGCGGCCTGGAATGCTCTGTGATAAGGGCAGCCACAACTTAGGATCACTCCTTGAAACACATCTGCGGCATGCGACAGTGATGGCTAATCTCTTGTGCAGCTGTCAACTGATGCTGGAATGCCTCTCACGCGAGCAGCTCGAGGTGGTAAAGGCGATGGATAACCTTCGCATGCAAGCCGAGCACCAGAAGGGGTGAGCTAATCATTGTAAATATTACCAACGTTGCGGCATAGAGCCATCTTTCTTTGAAGATGGAGGAGGCAGAAATATATGCAATGAGTCAGAAAGCCGGTCCCCTATGCGCTATTTAACTAATATTCAGCTGTAGCCTCATGAAAATGAAATAGCAAATGTCACATTGTGTATATGTAAGGCAGCCTGGAGAAACTGCAAGGCATTAATAGTTATGTCTGTGAAGAAGAATTTTATTTTAAGCTCGTACATGTCAAATAGAATTATACCATCCGGGTATTCGTCTGAACTATTGAATCCATATCAACAAAGTATTTAATTATCTTGAATCTGAGTAATGTGATGCGAAACAGGCGTCAAATGCAACGGCTTTGTTGTAAGCCTTGTCTTTTCCTTTCGCCTGTACTACACATGAGTGCTGAAGATTTTTATTTTTATTTCATTGCATATTTTATAAGCGACAGCCTCCCTGGTCCTGACGCATGAATATAACAGATCATAATGCGAGATGTACATGTTACATTGACATCAAGTTTTATTAATGAAAACAATAAAACAATAATAGCAGCCGAACAAGAAAGATAAATATCGGACGTGCGCATATAAAAAACGCACAGGGCACACTGTTGACACATTGCATGTGCGTCCCATCCTGGAAAGCACATGAATGTAAGAACATGGGTTACAATAAAGAAGTGATGAAATCTTGTAGCGCTATTGGCCAATTAGAACCCTTGCTAGACAACCAGTAGCAAAGCCCAATGCTTGTGATTGTACAAATGTCATTCCACGAGATGGATCACTAATGGCACTATTTCGTTAAGTTTAGGTATGCAGGGCATTGATGGTATTGAGTAGATTAGTAGTAAAATGTTAAAGAGATTTTTATGATGTATAAACTTTCCAGCTTGGTTACAAAGAGGATCTTGCGATTGAATGATCCCATGACCACACATATATAATTGGAAGAACACTGTCCGCAAAGTAAGTGTTATAAATAATTTACACAGATAATTAAACATTGTTGTGCTTGGCTTGGCACATGCGAACAAACGCAAGGAATTTTTTTTTTTCCTTTCCTTCTGCGGAGCGGATGCGCAGTCCATATTTTCTCTCCTCTTTTCCTTTTTGCTCACTTTCATTTCTTCCTTCTTCCCTTTTTTACTTTGATCTTTCTCTATTCTTAAAATTCAAACCGCAGTTCGCTCTCTCAATCCTCACTTCGTAGGTATTAATCATCTCTTGTAAACATTCATCATCCTACACTTGATACTCCTCTCATTACTCCATGTGGTTTTTCAGCAGTGCTCTTTAAAAAAAAAAAAAAAAAAAAAAAGTATTCTGCTCTCGAGCTTAACCTGCCTTTTTTTTTTTTTTTTTTTTTTTTTTTTTTTCGTTTCTTTTCTTTCTTCTCCCCAACAGCCGACCCAATACTCCACACTAATCAATTCCTTCGTTTACTGTGCTGTTTGTTTTGTCTGCAGACTCTTTTGTCCGTAAACTTTGCGAGCGCACATCCATACAACACATCCATACAACACATATCCATACAAACCACATATACAGCACAAATGGCACCTTTACTAGAGCAGCTCAAGAACTTTATCCGTCACGGTAAAAGTGGCAAGGATATGAAGCCTCGGGATTCAGGCGCATCTGTCCACTCTTCTTCACATCAACCCTCAACGAAACCCAGATCTCGTGCTGGCTCCAGGAATTCATCACCTTCTAGGAATATTGCCACATCTGCAGAGCACCGTAGTACTGCAACCAGCAACCATCAGCAGGATCATGATGCTATCACTGCCGCTGGAACCAATGCCGGTAACTTTAATAATACCAACACAGAAGCTGCTTCAAGAATTGTAGCCGAAGAAAAACAACAAAAGAGCAAGATGCCAGTGTATCCCGGGCTGGAGCGATACAAGTTGATTGAAAAGATGGGCGAGTAAGTTTTTTTTTTTTTTTTTTTTTTTTTTTTTTTCAAAAAAAAAAAAAATATATTCAATGATGTGCGTTTACGTTACACTATGGCGGGAGGAACAATAGGGTGAAAGGAGAGGGAGAGGGGAAGAAAATGAGATAAAAGTATGATTGAAATGTGAATACTGCAGGCAGTGGGAGTGAATCATCCATTTACAAAAACAAACAAACAAAAAAGACGATATTTCTATCGGCCCCTTTGTGCCTTTGTGCCTCTTTGCTGCAAGGGGTGACTTGGCAGGAGCACATAACGGAATCAATTGGAGGTTGGGGATGGGCTATGAACGCCGTTATGCTTTTTTGTTTTTCATGCACTAGCAGAATGACAAAAAGAGAGAACAGAGCAATAGATGATGGCTCTCATAATTGGGTTTCTCCTTTTGTTTGTGTATTTCTTAATTCTGGATGACGCGATGATGTCATCACACCAGAAGCGCCCAGCTTTTATTATTGCGGAGAAAGAGACAAAACGACGATTAGTGGATATTGACATTGAATTACCTCTGAAGACAACAAACAACTCAGCCAGCATTATGCTATTAGTCGTCATTGCATCGTCTTTCAGAAATTTTTTTATCTTTAGTCAATGATCTGCGACGATGAAATGATCCAAACGCAAGTTGTTCTCACCTTTCACTCGTCCATGCTTTACAGTCTTGGTATATTATTTAAAGTAGCGGGGTTTCAAACTTACAGCACTTCTTCACTTCTTGTCTGTGTGGCGATTCAGAAATACAAAAAAAAAAAAAAAATACTGACTAATCGGTTATGAGGCTAACCAACTTTACTCAATTTGCATGTCTGCATAATTAGTGGTGCATTCAGTAATGTGTACAAGGCACACGACACAAGGATGGATCGCATGGTTGCTGTCAAGGTCGTCCGCAAGTTTGAACTCAATGCTCACCAGGTGCGTTATGGCTATTATTTTTAATGCAGGGGAACAAATTGAATGGAAAAGAAATAACTGCCTCAACAACTACCAGTTAGGATTGCAAAAGAGGATTATAGGATATGGTGATTAGGCCTCCATCGATCATATTGATTATAGTTGTCTCTTATTCTTCAGGAAGTCTCCCTGGGATATCGTGTCTACTTTGCTTTTTTTTTTTTTTTTTTTTTTTTTTTTTGCAGCTTTTATGTTGATTGGATTTGGATAGGATGGGTTGTAATAGCAACAACAAAAAAAGCAAAAAAGATTGGAAGATACAGCAGCATTGCCTAAAGAGTGTTGATATGGGGAAAAGCGTTTCTTATCTTTTTTTATTTCTTTTACATTCTATACATAAAATGGATATTCGACTGAATGAATGTTTTTATACTCACATTCTTATCACTATGCCATGGAAAACCCGCTGCCGTCCTCTGTTGTTCATCAACCAACCTGCGCCTACAGAATAAGCATCTCCATCGCGACATGAAAAAGAAGCCTCGCGTCACAGAGGTCAGCATCCCAAACCAACGAATTTGAGTTGTGTGTTTTATTCCCTCAGTTCCACTTCTTATTTGCCTACTTTTTCTTTATGTCTTTCCTCATCTTCATCGAGCTTGTCTTTATTACCCTAGTCGCTAGTTCTTAAGAAGGATATGAGTATATTAATATCGCTTTTGTTTTCATTCGTCATTTTCCATAATAGCGAGCTAACATTCTTAAAGAAGTTCAGATCATGCGCCAGCTGAAGCACCCAGGAATTATCGAGTTATACGAATTCTCAGAGTCGAGTGAGCATTACTTTTTGGTCTTGGAGTTGGCTCCCGGTGGAGAGCTTTTTCATCGTATTGTCAAGCTTACATATTTTTCCGAGGAGCTGACCCGCCATGTCATAGTTCAAGTAGCCCAGGCCATCCGTTATCTTCACGAGGAAAAAGGTGTTATTCATCGAGACATCAAGCCTGAGAATATCTTGTTTGAGCCCATTCCTGTCATTCCCTCTCCACCAGGGGCCAAGCCCGAAGAAGACGATAAGGAAGATGAGGGCGTGTTCCAGCCCGGTATCGGAGGCGGCGGAATCGGTCGTATTAAGATTGCGGATTTTGGATTATCTAAAGTCGTATGGAACGAGCAGACAATGACGCCCTGCGGAACTGTGGGTTACACTGCACCTGAAATTGTCAAAGATGAGAGATATTCAAAATCGGTTGATATGTGGGCTATGGGGTGTGTCCTCTACACACTTTTATGTGGCTTTCCACCATTCTATGATGAAAGTATTCAAGCCTTGACAGAAAAAGTTGCTCGTGGGCAATACACATTTTTGAGCCCTTGGTGGGATGAGATTTCTTCGTCTGGTAAGCCTTATTGCATCAGCTGAAAAAGAAACACATTAAGCTTATTTGCTTATAAACTAAAAATCTGTTTTTGTCTCAATACTTCGTAGTCAAGGATTTAATTACTCACTTGCTGTGTGTTGATCCGAATGAACGTTACACAATTGACCAATTCTTGGCGCATCCTTGGATCAAGGCTGGGGAGACAGCCAAGGCAAAAGCGGCTACCAACAACACTGTTCCTGACATTGCTGTTGAGTCTCCTGATATTGTTCCAGAGAACAAACTGCTGAGCAATGTCAAAGGCATGACTACAGACTATGGTGCTCCTAAGACGCCCTACAAGCGCAGGGCTGAGAACCCTCTTTCGCCTGGAATCGGCCTCAAGGAAGTCTTTGATGTCTCTAATGCTGTTCACCGTATGGAAGAAGAGTCACGTCGTCGCCACGCACCGCAATTCTCAAATCTTCATCCTGTTGATGCCCTCAACACAACGAGCCGTCAGCGTCAGGCATTCATGTCCCAGTTGAATGAGGAGGATGAAGAGGAGGAGCGGTCATCATATTCTGATACAACTGGCTCGATCTCGAGCGATGATGAGGCAGTCATTTCGAAATTGAATAACGCTCAGATCGATATTAATAATGTTCAAGAAGAATCGAATGTCAAGGAAAGAGTGGATGAACAAAAAGCTCAAGAACTGAAATTGCTACTCCAACAACAACAGCAAGAATATCAGAAGGCACAAGGTGAAATTGCAGCGGAACATCACCAAAAGTATTTGAAGCAACAGCAACAGGCAGGACACTCGATACCAGCTCAACAGCAACCACACGCCGTACGTGGCAATAACCAAGTTGGGCCAAGTGGATCAAAACCGCATCCTACTATTAGTAACTCGACCTCAACTTCAACCGCAAGCTCGGCCTCGACGACATCGACAACCCGTCGCCGTCGAGCTGGGTTTGAGTTAAATATCAACCATGCTACATTACTGAATCGTCGGGCGAAGCAGCAGCAACATCCTTCCATGATGCTGGATCAGCAACAGCAACAGGAATCTCCAGCCATGGCCATCTAGAGAACACAATATTACAATGTTTTCTATTACTATTGCTTCTTTTTTTTTATCCCATCTCCTTTTCTTTTTTTTTTTTTTGCTCAGTGATTGTTGCTCATTCCTATTCCTGTATCAATAGTTGTAATTATTAACCTCAAAAAGAACTAGCAAACAAAAAAAAAAAAAAAAAAAAAAAATTGACGATAATGATGATGATGAACATTGGCCATCTGTGATCAATTATAGTCAAGATAGAGTGAACAACGTGGGAAAATACTATTTTTGCATCTATACTCGAGTTTAATCGATAATAAATCGTTGCTATATGTTTTTATTAATGAGCAACTATTGATATGGCATCAAAATTGAGTGGGCAGATGGATGGATGGGCGAATCAATTGTGTTCGACAGGTAGTTACTCAATAGTCAAGATCTCGGTCTAGCGTTGCTGTTATTCTAGAAAGGGCGCTTCCGAAGATAAAACATTTGTACATGTACACAGGTCCTTCAAGAACAAACTTTCAAAAGGCTTATAAATGCTTATTTTAGTTTCCATTTCTGTTTGTCTGTCGCCCTTTCTGATTCAATGAAAGTGGATGCGAAGGGAAAGAGGAGAAAATCCATAAGGGGTTTATGTGGGCCCTGCGGAAGGAAAAAACAAAACAATTGCTCACGAGCGCATATTTCTCCAGAGAACAGACACGACTCCACATCCATACCTATTTACTATTTAAACCTTTTTCTTTGCTTGCACTTGTCCATCACTTCTTTTCACTCCCTATTCCCTACTCTTGTTCGCTCTAATACCTCCTCCCTCCCTTCTGTGCCCATGACCTTGACTATTGTTCTTCAACAAGCACGCCGTGGTGTTGCAAAGGTATTCATTAAATTTTCTCCTTTAACGTTTGTTACATGTTTATTCCCACGGGTCAGATATCCACATTCTGTAACTTGTTTCGAAAAGTCTTTTCTTTTGGAAACAGAAAAGTAAGGGACAACACGGCGTCTGTGGAAAACCCTCATCTTCCTCATCAACCTACATTGTCAACAACAGAGCACAATTGACACTGAAAATAACTCATTCAACATTGGCCCATGAAGATGTCGTTTTTTCCTACACTTCTCATATTCCTCATGTTACACCTTTCGTGCACCACGCTGACGTTTTTTTTTTTTATTTTTTTATTTTTTATTTTTTTTTTTATTGAGTTTAGAAGGTGACCATTACTGCCTTCACTACCACAATCGGCCGCCAATTCTCTATATTCCGCCCCGTCTATAAGCAGGCAGCTGCTGATGATGAGCTGGTCGAGAACTTGAGCAAAGTTTATCCTTCAGCGGAGGAAGCTGTCAAGGATATCCCTTCAGGTTCGACTCTGATGGTTGGAGGATTCGGACTCTGCGGTATTCCAGAGAATTTGATCGCAGCATTGAAGAAGCGTGCTTCAGACTGTAAGGACTTGATTGTAGTTTCTAACAATGCTGGCGTGGATGATTTTGGATTGGGACAGCTCCTGCGTACCAAACAGGTATGAACTCGTATAAATATTTCAGCTACTACTTTTCCCCACAACAGTCTCGTAATGTGGAATGTGAAAACGATGTAAATGTCTCTGTAAAGTGAAATAATCTAACAGCATATCTGTACTCCGTATTCTGTCTTGTTCAATCATATCTTCGTATAGATCAAACGCATGATCAGCAGTTATGTAGGCGAGAACAAGGAGTTTGAGCGCCAGTACCTCTCTGGAGAGCTCGAGGTTGAGTTGACTCCTCAGGGTACTCTAGCAGAGCGTGTTCGTGCTGGCGGTGCTGGTATCCCAGCTTTCTTCACTCCTACTGCTTATGGAACTGAAGGTATGCACACAAGGTCAATCATCACTTTAGGGTTTTAGATGTATAGCGTTCTATCTTTGCTCGGTCGGGGCACTGCAGCATGAGAACACAATCTCTCTCTTTACCTTCACTTGACTGCACTGAGATTCATGAGAAATGATAATGGCTTTATTCATCAGACTTGCTTCAATAACTCATCTATCTGTTCTCTTTATTCTAACTTACGGGATTGGGACTCTAATAGTTCAAACTGGTGAGCTCACAATCAAGTATAGTCCGGATGGCAAGCCTTTGATCCGCAGCAAGCCTAGAGAAGTGCGCGAATTTAATGGCCGCAAGTATATTATGGAAGAGGCCATCGTTGGAGACTACTCATTGGTCAAAGCCTGGAAGGGTGATGCCTATGGAAACCTAATCTTTAAGGGATCTGCTATGAACTTCAATCCGGTCATGGCGAAGGGTTCCAAGAATTGCATTGCCGAGGTAAAAAAAAAAAAAAAAAAAAAAAAAAAAACGGTCAGAGTAGATGGTACAATATGAACTTTACGAAGGACGACGCAAGCTGAGCAAATTATAACAGATGAGAATGGCCTTTCCTGTTGGTTATCAAACTAGGTCGAGGAAATCGTTCCCGTTGGTTCTCTCAGACCCGAGGACATTCACTTGCCTGGCATCTTCGTAAAGCGCATCATCCAGGGTAAGAACTATGAAAAGAGGATTGAACGTCTCACCTTGACTGAGGACAAACCTGTCGGCGTTACCAATACCTCTCCTGTGGTTGATGAAAGGGATGAAGCTGCTCGTCGTCGTGAGAAGATCGTTCGCCGTGCCGCTAAGGAGTTCAAGAACGGCATGTATGTCAACTTGGGTATTGGTATGCCCATGCTTGCGTCCAACTACCTCAAGAAGGGCGTTGCTGTCCACTTGCAAAGCGAGAACGGTATCCTTGGTTTTGGTCCCTTCCCCAAGCCTGGTGAACAGGATCCTGATCTGATCAACGCTGGAAAGGAAACTATCACACTTCTACCTGGCGCCTCACTCTTCTCAAGTGATGATTCGTTTGCAATGATTAGAGGATCACACGTAGATTTGACTATTTTGGGAGCATTGCAGGTGTCGGCCAAGGGTGATTTGGCCAACTGGATCATCCCCCGAAAGATGGTCAAAGGAATGGGAGGGGCCATGGATCTAGTCGCCAGTCCCGGTACCCGTGTTGTCGTGACGATGGAGCATCTGGCAAAGGGCGGCAAGCATAAGATCCTAGAAGAATGTACATTACCTCTGACTGGCGTTGGTTGTGTTGATAGAATTATCACAGACCTGTGTGTGTTTGATGTCAAGGATGGCAACCTTGTATTGACCGAGTTGATGGCGGATGTTTCATTGGACGATGTGAAGCGTGGAACAGGTGCCAAATTTACGATCTCCCCCGACCTCATCCAGAACTAGACAAATAGCATCCCACTCTCCTTTTGTAAAAAAATATAAACACAATTTATTATTATTCCAGGCTTGTAAGATGTTGAGACAACAGGATGAATTCTCCTGACCAATCAGGCCGTGCTGAGGACTATAAGGAAAAGAAAGGAAAAAAGGCTGTGCACTAAAAGAAAATAAGGCAAGCGTGCATCAAGGGGGAGCGCAACAGAACATAATGGAAACTTGATGGAACACAATCGAAAACAACAGAAAAAAGAATGTAGAATTTTGTGGACAGAGAGACCAATGTTTTAGAAGGAGATCGAAAAAAAAAGTGTCTTCGCCCACTCATAAATTCTGACACTTCAACTGCTGGGAATAGATAAATAGCTTTTCTTCACTTCTCTTTTTTCATCACTTTTCTTTCCTTTCTTTTCCCTACCTTTTCTCGCAGACAGACTGCATTACACCCCACTCATCTCTACGCTCTCATTCCACTTTGAAAGTGAAAAGGAATCATTTCTGCTCAATTCACACCCATAACAACAACAGTCAACTTTCATATATATAACCATGTCGACCGAAACATTTTCATTCCAGGTAGGACACCCACCTCCTTATTTACCATTGGCCTCAAGCCCTTGAGTGCTCGATAACAGTAAAAAGCAATGATGTGATTATTGATCCAGACCATTACTTTTCGCTTGTTAAATTATATAGGCTGAGATCTCTCAGTTGATGAGCCTGATCATCAACACTTTCTACTCGAACAAGGAGGTCTTTCTGCGTGAGCTGGTCTCGAACGCATCCGATGCCCTCGATAAGATCCGCTATGAAGCCTTGACTGACCCTTCCAAGCTTGATTCAGAGAAGGAGCTTTTCATTCGCATCACTCCTGACAAGGAGAACAAGATCCTCTCGATCCGCGATACTGGTATTGGTATGACCAAGGCTGATCTCGTCAACAACCTTGGTACTATCGCCAAGTCTGGTACTAAGGCTTTCATGGAGGCCCTTAGCAGTGGTGCCGATATCTCCATGATTGGTCAGTTCGGTCGGTGTCGTTTCTACTCAGCCTACTTGGTGGCTGAGAAGGTCCAGGTCATCTCGAAGCATAATGATGACGAGCAATACATTTGGGAGTCGGCTGCCGGCGGTTCCTTCACCATCACCCGTGACACTGTCAATCCTCCTCTTGGTCGCGGTACAGAGATGCGTCTCTTCATGAAGGAGGATCAGCTCGAGTACCTCGAGGAGAAGAGGATTAAAGAGATTATCAAGAAACACTCCGAGTTTATCGGATATTCCAATTCAACTTGCTGTTGAGAAGGAAACCGAGAAGGAGGTTGAGGACGATGAAGAAGAGGAGGTCAAGGAGAGCGATTCTAAAATCGAGGAGATTGAAGACGAAGATGAGAAGAAGGAAAAGAAGAAGAAGACTATCAAGGAGAAGAAGATTGAGAATGAGGAGCTCAACAAGACCAAACCCCTCTGGACCCGCAATCCGAGGATATCACCAACGAGGAGTATGCCACCTTCTACAAGTCATTAACAAATGACTGGGCCGATCATATGGCTGTCAAGCACTTTGCCATTGAAGGTCAGCTCGAGTTCCGTGCCATTTTGTTCGTCCCCAGCCGTGCTCCTTTTGACATGTTCGAGACCAAGAAGAAGCGCAACAACATTAAGCTGTACGTCCGCCGTGTCTTCATTATGGATGATTGCGAGGACCTTATCCCGAGTGGCTGAACTTTATTAAGGGTATCGTGGACTCTGAGGATCTGCCCCTGAATATTTCCCGTGAGATGCTTCAGCAGAACAAGATTCTCAAGGTCATCCGCAAGAATCTTGTTAAGAAATGTCTCGAGATGTTTGCTGAGATTGCTGAGGATAAGGAGCAGTTTGCTAAATTCTACGAAGCCTTCTCTAAGAACATCAAGTTGGGCATCCATGAGGACTCTCAGAACCGTGCTAAGCTCGCTGATTTGCTCCGTTATCACTCCACAAAGTCGAGCGACGAGATGACATCACTCAAGGACTATGTCACTCGCATGCCCGAGAAGCAGAAGAATATTTACTACATCACTGGTGAGTCTCGCACTGCTGTTGAGAACTCACCTTTCATTGAGGTCTTGAAAAAGAAAGGCTTTGAGGTCCTCTTCATGGTCGACCCTATTGATGAGTACGCTGTAACCCAACTTAAGGAATACGATGGCAAGAAGCTGGTTTCTGTCACTAAGGAAGGACTTGAGCTTGAGGAGGATGAGGAGGAGAAGAAGGCTCGCGAAGCCGAAGAGAAGTCGTACGAAGGTCTCTGCACACAAATCAAGGAGATCTTGGGTGACAGAGTTGAGAAGGCTTGATTTCCAACCGCATCTCTGAATCACCTTGCGTTCTCGTCACTGGTGCTTTCGGTTGGTCCTCAAACATGGAGCGTATCATGAAGGCCCAAGCTCTCCGTGACTCCTCTATGTCTTCCTATATGGCTTCCAAGAAGTCTTTGGAGCTGAATCCCAAGAATTCGATTATTAAGACTCTTAAGGCCAAAGTCGATGCCGACAAGAATGACAAGACCGTCAAGGATTTAACCTTGTTGATGTACGATGTTGCCCTCATTGTTTCTGGCTTCAGTATCGATAAGACTGATGTCTTTGCAGACAGAATCAACCGAATGATCAAGCTGGGCTTGGCTATTGATGATGATGAGGAAGAGGCTTCTACTGCAGATATGCCAGCTCTTGAGTCTCAAGATGTTGTAGAGGCTTCCGAGATGGAGGAGGTTGATTAAACAGCGGCCTATTAGAATTTTAATCATTAGTTTCATGTTCATAGTATCATTGCATGGCGGTTGTAATTAGTTCTTTATTTTTTTTCCTATTCGCCAAAATAAATGCAGTCTGATCATCTCTATTACTGTATATTTGCATTTGTATATATATATGTATATTTGGTGACAGGCTTCGGGGATTGAAATACAAATGAAAATCAACATCCAGCCATAGGGACAACTCTACATGAACGTGTGTCATTTTGCTAGCTTTGCTTTTTCTGATCCTTCAGCTTTCAGCAGCTTTCCAAGATGTAATGGAGAAAACCTTGTCTAAAGGACAAGAAATGTGACATTAGTACATGTAAAATGAAATTGTATCTGCATCCCATTTCATCGTAAAAGAGGAGATATGCTTCGCCTTTAGAAGAGCCCTTTCGATCCAAGCTATTTCACGGATCAGCATTAAGTTGGTTTGTTGGAGCATGATCATTGGTGACTTTCTTTTTTTACTTGAGCGAAAATTGTCCCCCAGATCGCAGTATTGCCATTGGATGCTTTATTTTTTTTTTATTTTCTTTCAAGGTTGGATACGTGTAACATTCTGGAGGCTTTCTTTGCAGTGATAAATTGCATGTTGACACGTCAACAGTGCTATGTAGTAGCCAATCAGGTGTTGCCATATCAGGTCTCCCTGTTTCTTGAATTTATTTCTGTATTGGACTGTGTTCTATGGCCTTCTGTGTCCCAGAGCACGTACAAAAAAGCTTAAACGCGCTTTGTTTGCTGGCAAAGCCTGGCTTTCTTCCTTCTCTGGTTACAACAAACCAGCCTATATATATTCTCCCTTCTCTCTCTTTTTCTTTCTTTCTTTTTTTTTTTTCCTCATCATCAGTCTCCACCACTTCTGTTCTTTCCCTCCTTTCTTCACCTCATCTTCCATCCTCATCTCTTACGACTCCAACTCATGTCAAAGTTCATCAAGAGCGTTCTCGCTCTGGTCACTGTGGCATTGGTCTGCATGGTCGCTATTACGACCGTCAAAGCCGATGCTGACGAGACCCGCGAGTCCTATGGCACTGTCATTGGTATCGGTAAGTCAATATACTATCTCTCACACACTTTTACCCGTGTGATCATGCAAAAAAAGTCTGTACAAAGCTGTCTTGAACAGATCCAGCGTGTATTATAAAGAAAGAAAAATGAAGGCGATCAACTACCGCAATAATATCGAGGACAGATTCGTGGAGAAGCCCTTCTCATAGGAGCAGTAGCAGCAAGATCAGTTACATATTTTTCCCTTTTTTACTATGATCTGATACTCAGTGGCTATGGAGTGGGTTAAAGAGCGCAGAGCAACTATTCTGCAAATGCCTCGATTGCGTTCATTTTCAATCTCCCCCTTCCTTGAATCGAAAATTCATCACTAACAACCGCCTCTCTTGTTTTTGCCTGTCGCTTGTTTTTTATAATTAACCAAATAGATCTTGGAACCACCTACTCCTGTGTCGGCGTCTACAAGAATGGACGCGTTGAAATTATCGCCAATGATCAAGGTCATCGTATCACTCCCTCCTATGTCGCATTCACTGAGGACGAGCGTCTTGTCGGAGATGCCGCCAAGAATCAGTACGCTGCCAACCCCACCAACACAATTTTTGATGCCAAACGTCTGATTGGTCGCCGTTTCGATGATAAGGATGTCCAGAATGATATTAAGCACTTCCCATTCAAAGTCAAGAGCAAAGGTGGCGCTCCTGTCATCCAGGTCGAGGTCAAAGGAGAGCCAAAGACCTTCACGCCTGAGGAGATTTCCGCTATGGTTTTGGGCAAGATGAAGGAGATTGCCGAAGCCTTCCTTTCCAAGAAGGTTACCCACGCCGTCGTCACTGTCCCCGCCTACTTCAACGACGCTCAGCGTCAGGCTACTAAGGATGCCGGTGCTATTGCTGGCTTGAACGTCCTCCGTATTGTCAACGAACCCACCGCCGCCGCAATCGCTTACGGTTTGGACAAGAAGGATGGTGAGCGCACTATTCTCGTCTATGATCTTGGTGGTGGTACTTTTGATGTCTCTCTTTTGTCGATCGACGACGGTGTCTTTGAAGTTCTCGCCACGTCTGGTGACACTCACTTGGGAGGAGAGGATTTCGACCAGCGTGTTATTGATCACTTTGTCAAGCAATACAAGAAGAAGAACGGCAAGGATATCACCAAGGATCTCAAGACCATGGGCAAGCTCAAGCGTGAGGTTGAGAAGGCCAAGCGCACTCTTTCTTCCCAGATGTCTGTCCGTATTGAGATTGATTCTTTCCATGAAGGTAATGACTTTTCCGAGACCTTGACCCGCGCCAAGTTTGAGGAGCTCAACATGGATTTGTTCAAGAACACAATCAAGCCTGTCGAGCAAGTCCTCAAGGATGCCGGCCTCGAAAAGAGCGATATTCATGACATTGTCCTCGTTGGTGGTTCTACTCGTATCCCCAAGGTCATCTCTCTTATTGAGGACTTCTTTGGTGGTAAGAAGGCATCCAAGGGTATTAATCCTGATGAAGCTGTCGCTTATGGTGCCGCTGTTCAGGGTGGTGTCCTCTCTGGTGAGTCTGCCGCTGATTCCGTCCTTCTTTTGGATGTCAACCCGTTGACCCTCGGAATTGAAACCACTGGAGGTGTTATGACCAAGCTTATTCCCCGCAACACTGGTATCCCTACAAGAAGTCTCAAATTTTCTCTACCGCCGCCGACAATCAGCAGACTGTTTTGATTCAGGTCTTTGAGGGAGAGCGTGGTATGACTAAGGACAATAACCAGCTCGGCAAGTTTGAGCTGACCAACATTCCCCCAGCTCCTCGTGGTGTTCCTCAGATCGAGGTCACTTTTGAGATTGATGCCAAACGGTATCTTGCGTGTCTCTGCCTCTGACAAGGGCACTGGCAAGACTGAGAGCATCACCATCACTAACGCAAGGGCCGCCTTTCTGACGAGGAAATTGAACGCATGATCAAGGAGGCTGAGCAGTTTGCCAGCGAGGATCAGGCAATCAAGGAACGTGTTGAAGCCAAGAACGTTCTCGAGAACTACCTTTACTCTGTCAAGAACCAGGTCACTGATGACTCTCAGTTGGGAGCTAAGATTGACGCTGATGATAAGAAGACCATCTTGGATGCCATTGCCACCAAGATCTCGTGGCTTGAGTCCGAGGGTGCCTCTGCCACTAAGGAGGAGCTTGATGAGAAGAAGGAGGAGATTGAGGCCATTGTTAACCCCATCACCTCTAAGCTCTACGGCTCCTCCGGCGGCTCCGGCACTCCTCCTAGTGAGGAGATGCCTTCGCACGACGAGCTTTAAAAAAAATGCATTCTCTCCCTCGGGCAGATTCTTTTTTCTTTATCGTAAAATAATATTTTTGCCAGCTCATTCTTTTTTTTTCTGCTTGTACAGTAATCAAATCCCCAATAAAGTAAAGAAAAAAATCTTTTTGAAAAAAACCATAGCCTTGAAACTACATGAAAAAGCCTAAGTCCACTTCCAGATCGACAGAAATTATAAATACATAAATACATTCATGTATATATATGTTTTACTACATTTC